TCATGTTCCTCTTATTATAAGCTTTATTTTGACCCATGGACTATTATAATGTGATTTACCTTTCTTGAGCTATGCTCGGTCTATTAACCGCGGTCTCTCACCTTCACAGTCATTTTTCACTAGATCTTGTACAAATGTTATTTTCTACTTTACAGTACAATGTGGTCCGTTTAGTTTGCACATAAACCATGTATTTTTGAAATAAATGATTCATATCGCAGAGGCTGGGATTGGTGTTCTGGATTCAACAGGCAAGGCTAGGCAGGAAGAAGGAGTGACAAAGACTCTAGACTGCTGGTACTGGTTTTGTGAGTCATTGATCCGATCGATAATCCACTGTTATCTAATTGATGGTATCATTAATTTTTATGTTGAAATAGGCACAAGACCTACAAGGTATAACAAAAAGACATGGATATGATCAGAAAGGATCTTAATTAATTAGATCAAAAATTCCCCGTGAAGTAATTTTCCTCCGGTCGTTTATTAGATATTGCCAAATTTTAAGAAATACTAATTAAAAGACATTTATTTTATTTCCGTGTTACGTTTGCCAAGTATAACGTTCTACCATATAAATTTAATATAAACTTCGTTTGATATAAAACAAACCATTTCTTTTCTAAAATATTTTTACATACTATCTTTTTTTGTATTTCCCCTATTCCAGTGATGGCAAATGATTATTAAATTAATAAAAAGGGATTTATGGAGATTGAAGAATTTATCTGCAGTTCAAATCATGAACTGATCTTAGCTAGACTACCATTGAAAATCTGAAGACATAGCACAGCCATTTCCTTTTAATGTGGGACTTCTCATGAGTGCCCATCTACAAACATAACGCTGTTGATTGAATGCAGGGCCTTTGGTCTTGCTTGACTTCAGGAAACTCATTATACTGTACAACTCTCAGCAATCGTCTGCGATGGATATTTGTTTCACACACGTCATGAATGGAACTCTACTGGTTACGACTTGTCATTAAAACTCTAGGAATAACATTTTGAAGCTAGCCACTAGTGAGGATATTATCATTTCTAGTGTAATCTAGGTGGTCTGTGAAGATTGTAGAATTATTCATAGCTAATTTTAAGTAGAGAACCACTAAATGTTAATAAAGCAATCTATAAAATAGTGTATCTCGGTCAATAAATTTTTCCCATGTTTTCTTTTAAAGGATAAATACAATTTTCATATGCTATTCGCTTTTTTCTGCTATACAAATTTCAGTGTTTCTTGTTTCGCAGTAACATTGTTTCACGGTGATAAGATATGTCACATACTTAAACGTTAGTTATAGACTGCCCCTCTTCCAGCCAAAACAAGACAATGAAGCCTAGTGGGCCCTTTTGTGGGAGCGGCTACATCGGAGCACGGCGCAACTAACGGGGTTCAATAGCTCTTTTGGCAGATAAATTCTCTCGATGTGTGTTTAGCCGTTTTTGGTGCAATAACAGTTGTCCCACTTTTCTTTTTAGCATTCGTATTCATCTGTGAGCATCATTCGAGCGAGTGATTAGCCAGATCACTACCACCCGTTTTACCGCTCACGTTAGTTCATACGACTGAGTCCCACTATCCAGAGGGCACGACAAGGACGTGTGAATGGGGTTTAACCTCCCGTTAGTCATGGAATTAAGGTATGACGCATTAGTTTATTAAATTTTTTCACTCTTGTTCGAGATTTTAAGAACATATTCCGAAACGTTTTACAGTAACACTATTGAATGTAATTATCTTCATATTCAAAAATGCTTTTGCTTTTATCGAGAATTTACTTTTCTGTTAAAAATTGGTTAGAAAACATCCAGAAACAAATATCATCAGTTACAATATGTTAATGGCTAATCAATGTACGCATTGAGAATAAAGCGAACTAGATATAAGACGTTTATTGTTTAACAAAGGCATAAAGCTCACAAAACACCATAAAACGACGGCTATTAGATGCCTTTATCAAAGGTCTCCATTGACACAGATGCTACGTCAAACAAGCTGTACAGACGAAATCCAAAAGCGTTCTAATGACGCCACTGACGTTCTTTTCGACATTTTTCGGTTCAATCATCAAACAAACATGCAGCACTCATCGTTTATCATCTTTCAGAGACTTCATCGTGCCATCTTCGCTCTCCATCGGTATTCTTCGACCCTTATTGATTTTCCCAGCAGTTATCAGTCTTTCCAAACTGACTACAAGTTGATCTGAAGCTTCGCGCAACGAAAACACGACTTATCTTCACAGTTATATTTCTGCACTTACAGTTAGTCTGTTGAATATAGATATAACCAGAAATCAACGAGCACCAGTTAATCATACGCCATGGACTGGCCCATACAGCATTGGTTCTACTTTCGCTTGTGTCTACTTTAACTAATATCTTCTTGTAATAACGTCCTATGTGTTGTACAGTCTTCAGAGCATCCATGGTCCCTTGATACATCGATGAGGCAATCGACGTAAGGTGCTGATCACGAGGTGTGACTTCAAAGTTAGCTTGTTCGTTATACCGTGCCCGTCTAACTCGATTAGGCCTCCAATCTTTCAACATAGATCATCAACGTTGATGGTCCATAATTTCTTAACGATGAGTCGTAATCAGATTAGCATAACGCATGATATTTGTGTCTAAAGGTGTGGTATGTGCTACTGATGTCCACAGATATAAGTAATATGTATCATCGATAAAAAGTGAAATGCCTGAAGGTAAAAGAATAGGCAGATTCTGGAAAGAGAAATAGAACGACATCAGTGAGTTATTGATGTGGAAACGAAAGAAGAATGAGGTCTGAGAAGATTGATTGACATTTTGCAAATAACGTATTTGCTCTCATAACGTATTTGTTCTCAGATTCGACTAAGCTGTTCCGTAATTTTGTATCCAATACAGTTGGTTGTCCCCACTTGTCTTCTCGCTCACTTCAAAGTTTCTTCATTAAAATATCAATATTAACATCAACATTAGAACGTATTTATTCAACTTGCATAAAAACGTGTGTCCTTATTTCTACTGCGAATATGTAGTGTCTATATAAACCAATGAATATTTTGTATTGATGACTGTTTGATTTTGAATTTCAAGTACAACACGTGCCTTTGCGTTCATCTGATACTTCTTGATTAAATTGCGTTGTGTCTGAGATTACTAGTTTTTACTACAGTTCAAATACTCTTTAATATCACAGAATGACGTGCTAATAGCTCGATTATTACGTTCAACGACGACTTTACACTTACCACGCTTGGAATTAGACCACGTGCTACTGATTGAAGACATCAGCACTCACCTAAATCAAAACAAACCGGATAAAATCCCTTCAAAAGGTTTCGATGAGTGGCTTTTCATAGCCATGAGACGTTTAGGACCGACTGAACATGTAGGTGACGTCATGAGATGGGGTTATATAGAAAACCATCGAAGTTAGACTATTTCCCAACAATTCATCAGCTTCTTGTAGAAGATATCCATGTTACTCTGTTGTATGCATAGGTTATTCTAACCTCTGAACATACCACGCTATTCATTCTTCTCAAACCATATTTTGACCTTGACACTGACTCACTTATCAGCTTTGACTGTCTTTATGTTAGCCTATGTGTGCGTACTTCCTGACCTACTCATCAGATGTCTGCTGATTATCAATATCGATTCACGCTTTGGTAAAATTAAGTTGGCTCACAAGCCTTTTCCACTGCCTGTCATTTAACTTCACTCTCCTCTCTTCACTTTCTTCGCTCCGTTTATGTGATCGTTTGTCTGGACCAACGACTGTATGAAATGCACGTGTTTGAAATTTATTATCGTATTTGACTTATCTAATTCTGTTATTGATTAATGTGAGTTTAGTCATTAATTATATACGAGGATTCACGACATGTATATTTCCACAGTTGTTCCTCATTGTTTGAAACGTACGCACGGCCCCACATTGAAGTTCAAAGTGCAAATAGTTCTCTGCTCTTCAACAGAGACACAAATCTCTCGGATCAAGAACGGAAACAAGCTACCTGGTGAGTGACTTATCTAATTCTTAAATCTTAAGAGGACAGACTCCTATACATGAGATTGTTCTCCCTGTGCTATAGGACAAGAAGGGATCATCTGATAATGGCATACAACATATTAAGTACGCCAAGCCATCCAACCGCAAGCATATTTATTGAACATCACCACAGATTTTCTCAGAGGGACCCTCCGAGGGCAGCATTCCAAGGAGGAAAAACCAAAGTATGGTCACTGGGAGACGCCCTTATATGGAAAACTCACCAAGCCGAAGTGACTACAGCCCCTTCAGTGGAAGGCTTCGGAAGGTCATTTAACCAATATTTACTGACCGATGAATTAACATGTTCCTCTTGTAACAGCTACCTGATGTATTTCTCATGATTTACAACGGTTATCATCAACGAATTTCAGTGACCGTACCCTAAAATGATCATAACCATCTCAGTTTCCGTCCTAATTCTTTCGATTTGATCAGTTCACACCGTTTGAGTCTGTAGATGGCGTCGAGTCGCGATTGACTATGATCAGCACTACAGGAATATTACGTGACAGGTATGGAGTTAGATCCCTCGGTAGTCCGAAAACCATAAGGCTGTTGACGGTTGAAATAAGATATATTTGTTGGCGATCTCGTGGTACCGAAAGAATACCCAGACGTTCCAAACTTTCCAAGAGGAACTACCGAGTGTACTTGAGTTCATGCAAGATCACAGGCAACAGAATGAAGCGTGTCTTTGGTACACTTGAAGAAACAAGTGCAGTAAAACAATCACTGGTACAATTGGTTAAAATGATAATTGTTTCCATTATACCAATCCCGTTCTCGTCACAAAAGTAGGTCACTAAAAGTTACCGATCAGCTTACAAAATTATTTAACTATTTCTTCAAGCAATCACTCATATTATCAGATATATAAACTCAAAAATAATTAGTAAAGGGACTAGTGCGGTTGAGTAGCTGAACTACTGTACATTGGTCATTATTGGAGATCTAAATTTGTTTTGAAGTAAGCAGCAACAAGAGCGAAGAACCTAACCGGTTTAAACATGTTGTCGTTAAGACAGTAAGCGGAATAAATATTGGTTTTTGCATACAATTAACAATACTCTGCCAATTTTTCAAAGCATGCGTTACAGCACGAGCAATTTGCTTTCTTTCTTTCCGTGGATGTGCTTCCATAAAACGAGGGTTTTTCTGTATAACTTCGAGTTTTGTACATCGATAGACGTTTGACGATTCAATTTTTTTTCGGAAAATGGTTACTAAAAAATTATAAATGTGTAGGGTGATAAAAATAATAACATTCTGTTGATTGCTAAATAGGCTTTTATCTTAACTTACCATCTTGTGAATCAAAGTATATTGTACACCCATATAATTACCAGCTTATTTGCCTAATCTTAAAATTTCCCTAACCACTACGAACCATTAGGCTTGGGATGTTTTAAAGAGCGTGGACTATTACATGTAGCGTTTTCATTTGGCTTCCCTTCAGTAAACATTTTGCAGCTACAAGTAAAAATCTGGCTTCGTGTTCCATCATTATTTGTTGATAACTTATTTTACAAACAATTCAAAGATTCATCGGAATTCTTATCTCTGTTCATTTAAGCAGTCTTTCCCTGGGTTTTTGGCTTTTGATACAGTTATATGTTTGACCATCATGCTCAGGACGATTGGTGCTAATTACTTTGTGGTTTACTTTTAATTCTAATCAGTCAAAACCATGAGAATGGAAAGTGAGTTTTCTATGTTTTAATGGTTTCTTCACATCTATAGAATCAAAAAATTGTTTGAGAAACCTTTTGTTCACTAATCCCGTTACAAGAGTACTAATGGGCGATGAGGGAAGTTCCAATCACTCTGAAACTGTTGTCGTAGACTACAGGTACTTTCTCTTTTCTTTACGTGAACTAACAATCTTTTTTCCCCTTCTTTCTACCTTCCTTAACATAAGCTCCCCAAATATTGCTAAACCATTCCACCTGGGACATTTCCGAGCTACTGTAACAGGGAATTTTGTTAAAAACATCAATGAAGCTTTTGGACATAAAGTAATCGGAATAAATTACATTGGTGATTGGGGTACTCAATTCGGTAACTACTTTGTATGCTTTCTGCACACTTTCTAACTTAGTTGACCTTTATAAATGTTTTGAACCTGTTTCTAAATGCTATGAATGAAGGGAGTTTCGACTGTTCTTTGTTGTTTTGTCGGTGTTGTATCATCTGAGCCATATGATTTAGTTATGAAACTTTCATCACCATTCGGGATATCTTCTGCACATGTCTCTACATGAATTGAGTTTTTATGCACCATAGAGTAACTAGTGTTCAGAAAAAGACAGTAAACTTTTTACGCTTACACCATGACCTATTAAAGTCCTTAACTAAGCCGTAGATGGAGAACGCTAGAAAATACCGACGAAAGTCTTATTGGAAATCAGTGCTGATATAAAATAAATTGTGATATATGCAAATCTGCAAACGATAACCGAGTAGTCTAGCTTTCAAATATTAAGTTATTATTGGTTTGCTAATATCTTAGCTCGATGCCTCAGCCTGCATATTCATATTATACAGTCAAACATCCTTAGTTACAGCCCTGTTACAGTCTTTTGGGTAACAGAGTGAAATAATAAATGGATCTCGTCACCAACCTTCATCTCTACAAAAGTGACGATTCGAGAAAATTCAGGTATATCATGCACCTAAGTTCACATGCTATCGCAAGGCCAAACAATAAGTATCAGATGAAAAATAATACATACTACCAGATCAATCTGATTTTGAACTTAACCAGGGTCTTAGCTTATGTTTTCACCTTACCTTACCGCGGGTAGAAGGATAAAAGCATATATTCTACATAGTATGACCCTCATAGTATGTTAGGCAGCGTGTGTTTATCGTTCCGAGTAGTAAAAATCCTCAAAGTGACGAAAACCAAATGCGTTACATTAAACAATCACCTGATTGTAGCTAAAGCTACATTGTCCAGCAGTTTAAGTCATTACCTCGTCGATAAATTTGATTCAAAACTGCCAATTATGTCCATGAAAATTTGGCAACTGATTTTGCCCCCAAATGCCCTGGTACGACCGATAATGGGGAGAGTCCGCTCCCTCTCGATATCCTCTCACATGGCCACGCGTATATAGCCTCTGCTAGGAAAGTCCTACTCACTGCCTTCTCGCGTCATGGGTGTTGTTTACGTAATTGAGTGGACGAAAAGTGAATGTCCGGCGCTTTAACAGGGTTAGTGATACCGTAGAAGTATCCGTGATCACATTATATGTTACCAAGCTGTTTATTAAGCGAAGAATAAATTTTACGCTCTCTTAGTCAAAAGCCCCACCGGAAACCTAAATTATTCGGTTTTTATTGAGACAATGTATCTAAAATAAAGCATAATTTAATTTCGTTAAAAACATTCTGCTCAATAATATAAACCTTCATAAGTAAAAAACTTAACTTCCAGATATCTTGGCATCAGGATTTTCAAAATATGGGGATGAGATTGAATTGCGAAGAAATCCTATTGAACATTTATATAAAGTAAGTGTATGTCAATTGAAAATATCTGTGTTTTATTATCGTTTTACAAACCTATATTCAGAATATTTCACTCATAACATAGTGTCATTTTGAATAGATCATTTGTTCAATTTTAAAAAAATGAGATGAAGGATGTCAAATTACGGTTAAAACGGCACAAGAGTAATGAGTGGAACATTACATGAACCCTCTCCATTGTTACTATTTACAAGATAAGTGAACGACTAGTTAGGTTGTTAGATTTATAGTACAAAGCAAACTTTTTAATGGAATATTATCTTCGCTACGGTCGTCTAATATCTGTGGCTACGATACTTCATTTTACTCTTCGAAAATCTAAACAAAATTGAAAGAAAAAAGCATACATTTCAGTAACTGTGAATAACAAAGTAATAATTACCATAGAATCCACATCAGAATCTTATGGTATCTTTCCGATTCTTCCACAGATTAGGTGAAAATCGACCAGTTGGTGTATTATGGTTTAAACTTTATCAGCGTACGCTATGGTGAGGACTAAGCTCCTGTATTAAATGACGTCGATTGGAAAACAGGAAGTACTGGACGACTTCTTGGTCCTAGTTTGAAGGTTTTCGGCAGTGTACGCCCACGATGTCACCAGGAATTTAATTCAAGGCCTTCAGACCTTAGGGTGAGCACGCATCCACTCATATCAACGCGCTAAATAATGAAACAGTCATCTTTTACAAAATCAGTAGCTAACCGTTTCACTTGTGATATACTTTAGTTCTGTAGTTGTTATTTGTATCGCAAACATTTAGCTAACAGTGTATAATCTACCCAATAAAAAGTGATTAGATAATGATGAAAAAGACCATATAATAATAATGATCATAATTATAATAGTTTTTTCTCGTATTGAACAAGAACATGCAAGATGCAAAATAATAATAGAGAAGTTAATCGTATCATCAGTGTATAAATTTATGGAGTCCGTTGAACTCCTTAATTTTCATCGTGAACTAGTCTTAGTTAGATAAACATTGAAAATTAGAAGACGCTAAACAGTTCTTTATGTAGGACTTCATGGGGCTTTAGTGAGAAGCCTGGATCAGTGAAGTTGAACTCTAACTGATATGTTGCATCTACCCACCGATGGCGTAGGTAGATGATTGCCCGATATCTCTAGTTCATTGAAGTTAGACCTATAAACCATTGGGTTCCACTTCACCAATTTAGAGGTTAAGCACTCACTGACAGACCAGGTGGTCCTACGTTCTATCCTCCGTAGTTGGATTATGGATGGGCACTGATGAAGAGTGCCATACTGAGACGACAGAGCTAAACAATCCTTCCTGGCTTTACATGGTTGTTTAACTAATGTAATTCCATAATGTAGATCCCTTATAAAGCCTGTTCTTTGGTTCAGTGAAATTGATAAAATGTTTTCTTTGAACAAATAGGATAACAGGGTTCAAAATATGTCTGGCTGATCTGTTATTTTGCCTAATGTTTCAGCATACGACATTTAATTGCCTTAATTAAACTCTATGCAACCGAGTGATATAATACTATAACAACTATATGGGTTGTAATCAACGCAAACAGTTACCGAGTAAAAATATTTCGTTCACCCTCAACAGTATTGAAAATCGATACCTGGTTTAGGGGTAAGAATAGTTTTTTCATCAACACAAATATATCTCTTTGCAGTGGCAACAGTAAGGGTGATCACTAAACTAATATTAAAAACGATTTAACTAACATTATCGTGCCACTTTTTTATTCCATATATCATACTTTGTCTTCTCGTAAATCCTGAATTACAATTTTCGTTATTCCGCCAATCCGTATTTTCTCCGCATATTGTCTGTCTGGTCTTTTCTACTACCACTAATAGTGTTACTACTTCTACTACTCTGTTATTTGCTTTGACCATTTTATGAATATGCCAAACCAATAGGGAATTGAACATCAACACTGTGATGAAAGTACATATTCAACTGACGAGTCCTATGGTTGAACGAAACGCTCATACTACATTCTATTCTTAGCCACCACTAATCATTCTAAAAACTTATATTATCAAATTTTGTGCAAAGGAATTACACTCGTGTTCTGAAAATTGAATAAGTTGACATACTTAGGTTTTTTAACCCTATAATTTCCTTTCGATCATTATTTTGAAATTAAAACTTTGTAGATCGTGATAAGAGTGTGATGCGAAAAAATATCCCTAAAAATCATTGATCATTGAATAATCATCCTCTACTTTGCATTAATGTTGAATTGTCAAGCAGTGGGGTTCAGATCTTGTTCTGTTCGTAATTTCACAGTTGGATGTTCCTTATCTCACCGTTAATTTCCATTGTGAAATCCGAACCCCGATACGAATTGATTCAAATATCAAGTCACTAACTACTGAGTTCAAACAGACTAACTTGTTAAATGGCTATGTACTTTTTCGTAAATGTTTGTATTTTTCCTTTGTTGATGTTAAAGACTCCAACTGATAATCTCTACTGGAATACGTGTTTCCTGAGTAGATTTCTTCAATATTAATCACAAGTTGAATTAAATGTGAATAACACATTAGCAATTAGAACTATGGGTAATGAGTTCAGTTCTCAATTTTGAACATGAACATTGGATGCAGGCATTTTCAGCTGATAAGTTTAAAATGGAATAAATCAACTTTCTTGAATTCCACCGCTACTAGCCATATTCCAAATTTAATAAAACTGATGACAAAACAGCAACAATGAAACAATGCGCTGAGGATACACGTAGCCAACATAGAGTGATCAATTACAGTCGTTAACATTAACAATGAAGAAATAATATCCCTTATAGAGAAAATAGGTCTACCATTTTATTTTGCTACAACAGGTCTATGTACAAGCGAATCGTGATATTCAATCATCAAATGAAAAAATTCGATATGGAATTGATCATGGAAATGAATCAGTTAACTTATCCAGACCAATACTCAATAATACAACTGAAATACAATCTCGTGATACTGAATTCTGGCGATATATTCGTAAAGTAACTTGTGAACAGTTGAAATCAAATTATCAGGTAAAAAGGAAAAGAATCGCTGTTTTATCATACATGTTTTTATTGTCTTTATCTTCTTTACATTATTTTGTTTCCTCTTACAGTTCAGTAGTTGTAATTAAAACTTATTGATAGAACCTTACTCAGCCACATAGGAGCGGCCAAACCAAAACGTGCCATCAGTTCAAAAAGTCATTAACTTCTGGTCTGAGCCATGTTGGTAGATACAGACTACTTGGTTGCAGTCTGCGCGACTATCGTAACCAATGGTTGGAGACTGTGGGTGACATGACTCAGAATTGACCACAATGGCGTAGGTGTATGCACTCTTTGTCTTCCCTTAAAACCGTGAGATTGAAATTTCTCTATACCTTTCTTTCTACAAACCAACTATTCCTTCTTATATGCAGTCCTCCTTTTACATATTACTACCATTGAAGTATCTGCTTCCATGAATTTGATGTTCATCTTAGTGTGCTGATGAGGTGTAGCAACTTGGACCGATGTATATATGTGTCTCGTCTTACATTGCAGCCTTTGACCTAAAGATCTGATCCACTAGACAGTGGAGCGTCGTAAGGAGATGCAGTTCCATATTAGCCGGTGACCAAGGATTGATTCATACGGCATTTGTTCCCTCAGGATACTGGACCCCATATGCACCATTGGTTTGGAATCAGAGTTTTTCAACTCCCCTATGTGAACTTTCCGTGTCCACTAACCCGGTTAAAGTGCCGGACGTTCGCTTTTCGTCCTCTCACCTTCGTGAACAACACCCATGGCGCGAGAAGGCAGTGAGTAGGACTTTCCTAGCAGAGGCTATATACGCGTGGCCATGTGAGAGGATTTCGAGAGGGAGAGGGGACTCTCCCCACTCCCGGCCGTACTAGGGCATTTGAGGGCTTTTTCCTCTGAAAAAGGAATACCTAAATCTACAAATAAAACGTGGTTGGAAGTTATTCAGCGTATGTGAATAACTAAGGAATATGATAACTATAGGTCATCAGCTTTTCAATAAAATCAAGCTCAATTCACATTGCGTCATATCAATCCTTTATTATAAATTCTAGATACCTAATTGTCTTTCGGAATAATTTTTTTACAATGAAGAATCTAATTAATTAATCAATAACAACAAATGAACACTTTTAATAAGTAGACCTATAAACAGTTTTCATTAACTAGGCTCTGGGAAACTGAATAGTTTTAACAGTTAACTGCAATCGGTTAAGTCATGGGTTCAAATCTCCTTAAGATTAGTGAATGTCATCTCAATTTATTACATCAAATTGCATACCATCAGAACAGAATAATACCTGGTATATTTGTCGGTCTATTTGTTATTACGTCCTACTTCTCTTGATTGTAAATTTAAACTTTAATGTGCAGTCAGTAAAATTAGATGTGATTAGTTAGTTAGTGTAGACACACAGATGTGCTAAATTTATGGGACGGGAAATTAATTTTTATGATTGTTAGGTACTCTAGGTTTCATTGTGTGTAGGCTAATTGTATTTGTGTTAATGAAACTTGTCTAACCTATGATCTGGTTCTCAATTGTGTTGTTCTTGAATCCTGTATTGTTGTATATTATGATCTCTCGTTTAGTTGTGTATTATCTACTGTCGTATTACATACATAGTATCGACAAATTGTTTATTATTTTTGTTGTTACAATAGTGTCTTACAAAAACGTTATGCATAGAAAGGTATTCAATTACAAAACAGATAGAATAAGTCTTTGTATCGACAGTGCCGGTCTTGATGTTTCCCTCCCCCTCAGGGATCTTTATAACCACTAGTAGTTTTCATCACCCCAAAATCCGTTTACCCTAGCCCCCTTTTAATTATCTACATCAGTTGTGGATCGATAGTCACTAATTTAACAAGATCTCCACTGTATCCTAATCCAACAACCCTGAAAGATTCAAATAGTGCACAATGACCGGAAATGACTGTTGCAAGGGTTAAGTGAATATAATTACTCTGAGAACGAAAATGAATGTTATTAGTTTACTTAAGAATATTACACAACAAATAAACGTACGTTGCATCACACGTGCGAAAATTACTAGAAAGGGAACGGATTACTGAATAATAAAAGTAGTATATATGAATACACAAAAATGAGTTGAGTAGGGAAAGATGGATAATGCAAACGAAGTTAATATCTATTCCTTCCTAAATTAATTTGTTCCCATCTTAATATTATTCAATTACACTGATGAGTTGACCATTTTAAATTTTGTTTTTCTTAATTATCTTTATAGCGTATGAATATTCGATTTACAAGTTATGAATATGAATCTGATTATGTGGAGAAAGCTTATTCACTTGCTAACATGTTACTAGCCAATGGGTTAGCTTACAAAAGTTCGTAAGTTGCATAGACTTCAATAATAATTGAAAATTTATTCATTGTTTTGAATGAGAGAAAACTTCTAAAGAAAATCGGCCAAAATTATTACATTCTAACGACCTTGATCTTCTTATCAACCAATCAGAAAGTAATGCTTAGTTCTAAAACAATGAACAATAAAATCAAATAAAACTACGGTGAAGTAGTGGGCTTGACACAATAAGCAATCCGTGATTTAAATTTATAACCCTGTAGGGTTTTCCTTATTAACTGACACTAAATATAATCCAAAAAAGTTAAGGTAAGATAATAGGAATTACACCAGTGTTATTATGTACTAGGATTACCAAATAAGGTGTTGAGTCATTTCTCAGTCCAATCTCAGAATTTATTTTTGATGTGGATAGTGGTCATACTTTCGAAGCATAGTTTGACAAAATAGGTGATATTTTCCGAATAGAATTTCCCGCTATGGACGACCCAAAGAAAGTCCGTTTTTTGTTACAGAAACTTGGTCCTAATAAGCATCAAAAGTATAAAATTCATTCCGCCTAAACATCCACAAGAAGTCAATTTCGATGGAACTGTCAACACTAAATAAAATATTTTGTAAACAGATGTCACTATTTCGTATCCAGTATAATTGTAAACAGTTGACTAAAGAAGCTGATGATGACTACGCTACGTACGCCGGTAAAGTGAATTTACAAGCAGAACGATTTAAATTTAATGCATTATCCAGTGGTCCAGTAATGGACATTTTAGAAACAGGTTCTGTAGTGGGTTCGAATCTATTTATGCCCAAAGCAGAATGTACAATTAGTGAATTTTTGATTGAGATCATGAATCAATGAATGTTAGACCACTATTGAAAACCTGGAAGCATTGGACAGCCGTTTCGTTCTAGTGTGGGACTTCTCAGCAATGTGTGACCGAAGGTCCTGGGTTTAAATCCCACATGCGAGGTTTACTATTAATTTCCAATTTATTAGCTACAGTCTATAGTACTCACAACCACTTTTGGCTTCATCTCGTATAGTTATTTTTTTCATTTTACAGTGTGATATGGTCCGGTCTGTTTGTATGGAAACTACGTATATCTGAAGTATACTACTCATTTAGTGGAGGCGGATATTGTGTTCTGGACTGAACAGTTTGGGTCAGTCTGAAAGTTGCTAAATGGAGGACCAGTAGGGACTAAGGGTTGACACAAATCTGCTCGTCCTGGTTAACTCATCATTGGTTTAGCACAGGTCCTAGATCACAGAAGTCGGTTTTCTGACTGGCGATTTTGTCACGTGATAATTGACAGGGGCAAACGTTAGGTATTTTAACTTGTATTACCCATTGTTTCGTTCATAGACGTCAGCACTATTCATCTATTCAAAACTTATCTCTTTTACAACTCCACTGTTCACCATTTAATTACTGATTTGTGATAATATAACAACACACAGGATACACTGTGTATTGTATTGTTATTAAGTTATTTGATCAAGTACGGTAAGCTAAACAGTAGAATGTACTTTCGCTGTATGATTCGTTGCTGTACTCGTTATCTATTCCATTTTTGTGTTTTTTTCCAGTGATGGACTGACTTGTATGTCTACAGCAAACATTAATGATGTGAATTTTTCGAATCAAAATATTATCCTATTAAAAAGTGATAATTCAACTTTATATTTAACCAGGTAAATAATTTAAACAGTTAATTTGCTTTACACTTGTGGTGGTCGATATTTGATATTATCCCTAAACTTCGTGTATTGTTCGTCCTGATAACCGTTATTTAATAACGTCCTAAAGGTGTTATAAATCAGAAGGCGTATACGAAGGGTTGATTGAGTTTATTATTGGACCACACACAGATATCCAATATTACAGGCACGTTAAGCAAGCATGAAAGAGCGGTGCCGTAAAGCAAGCCAGTAAGCGTGAGGGTCGAATGAGCAAGTATAGTGCACTGCACTGTACTTACTCATTCGAATAACGGTTATCAGGACGAACGATACACGAAGTTTAAGGATAATATAGAATATCGACCACCACACACTATGTTATAATTAGGCTTGATTATCTATACTACATCGTATGTAGCTTGTCTTTTGAATGCATAGTTTTCTTTTTAACTTACAGGGATATAGCGGCGGCGATTTCTCGTTACGAAAAATATCATTTCGATAGGATACATTATGTGGTATGCAATGTATTTGCTATATATATATATATATATATATATATATATATATATATATACGCGTATTTATCTATATATATTTATGTGACTATAAATCTATACAACAAAAGATTCATTCAGCGGTAAAATTCACTTTTTTCCCAATCATTACATTTACAACCATAAGTGCAACTTCGAGGTTCGAAGGTCAATCAATAGACAATCAGCCAAAGTAGGTTTCACTCATCACAAATTAATATCACTTGCGATGCCCCCTAGTGATTTCCTAAGTACTTATTCATGAGGAGTTCCATAATAGAACGAAACAGCTGGTTAGTGCCCCTTAGTTTTCAATGATACCTCAACTGAGATTAATCTGTGACGAATAGAACCTACAAATTTGATGAATCCTCACAAACCCGAACAACTAATTGATTGGAGCACGTCAATTTCTGGTAGTATTCGATGACTTTCTGACACGACTACTTGATGTGGCTAAGTTTGACCATCATTTCACGTAATGTGGTTTCTGTAGTCGTGTGGCATTACTATCCCACGCGCAAGTATTGTGTTGCTGAAGTTTAAGCGCGTGGTGGTTAATAACTCAAATTTCAAGATGATTCCAGTATTATGTTGCATGTGAATAGCTCATACTCCTTGTTAGTTGTAAGCGTGCTCATCTTCCCTTATGTTTTAGATCTAAGTTTCCGTTTCCTGACTATAGTTGTGTTTCTTGACTTGACGCCACTTAACTCTTTTTACCGAGAGCTTTTGTAGCAGTATTTGTCTTTAAAAGGTGTACCAATTAAGTTCTTAAACCTTGTCAACGTTATCCATCCCAGAACTATTTTTCAAGTTAAGGCTTATGGTGAACTATCGTCAGAACTGTCAATCTCATAATGTTGTTCATCAGGGTTACCCGATATCTTTCTTCTTAGTTAATTTCGTCATAAATGGCTTAGAAACCGCACTTCATATAACTTTGTGGGGATCAATCTTCTACCATGAGGTCCACTTATGAACTAGAAATACTCAGATGGTATGGTTTTATTTAATGAAGACGTTGACATAGTTCTTATTCTTGTGAATACCTTGAGCAGCAATCCAAACGTGTTCAGTTTGAGTTTCTCTCCTTCTAAATATAAAATTTTGTTTCAACACTGACCTAGCTTGAATAATTATAAGATGTGAAGTAGTTGAATCCATTAAACACTTCACTTCATTTACGTATCTCTAGTCACCGCCTACATCAACAGGCGATATTGTGTTGTAACGTTTTGATTGATAGATTTTTCAATGTCATGCCGAAACGCTCTTTTTGTGAGTATTATTATATTTTCTGTTATCCAAGTTATTGTTATATCATCTATTAGCTAATATAATCCTGTTTATTACTTTATTTAAAGGTTGAAATCGGACAGCGTTTACACTTTCAACAACTCAACTATGTTCTCCTTAAATTGGGTTATAATTGGCCGGTTATGTAAGTATCAATGTTTTTGTATCCAAATGAATTTCCTGCTTTTACGTAACAGCCCATCGAGGGGATCTTTCAGCTACTTTTCATAGCAAGCGTACACTTTCCGAACGATTACTGAACTTCCCATGTACTCAAATCTTTTGTGTCATATATGTAGGCTTTGTTTTCTGATTGCGGTACGTAATATTTGGCCCAGCTGCAGGAATTTCATAAAAGCTATCATCTCTCTGAAGACTGCTGATAAATTTTACTGATGTTCTTTTAGCAGTGTGCAGTCTTTGCCCAGATCATCTTGTTGATTGCTTTCAACCCATTAATATCGTTTAAATTACACTTCGGGCACAAACCATTTGAACTAGTCATGTCTCGTCATACGCAACATCTTTTGAGTCGATTTTTTCTAACCTCTTTCTTCGATTGCGAGAAGGCATAATCCTTGGAGACGCTGATTGTTGACGGAAACAACTTTCTTCTGTCAGAACGTTTTATAGCCAGCAGTACAAGTTCGCCCTCGGGCAGTAATTTCCTTCTCTTAAGCTTACCATTTTCCAACTGACCTGCCGACATAAGAAGACTTGATTGAACAAGTGTTTGCGTGGTTATAGCTCTTACGAGTCATCACGATAGGCAAGCTCAACTACCGCTTTGAAAGGCATCAATGCTCCCCATATCCTTCTGACATATATCGCTTAATCTTACATTCTGAGACGCTACGAATAAACGTTTCAGGTATCCCCTAACCTTCCGTAAGAATGAGATAGTTGCAATTTCTATGTAACTGAGTAGTGACCAATGTCATGTTTGTCTGATTCAGAGTTAATAGATGTCACACTTTAATAAATGTAGTTTATTCAACGAATAAGTGAAGTGTTAGCAATAATGATTAATCCAAAGTTCATTTCTAGATTTAGTGGATGAACCATTTTAGCCTATTGCTCGGTGGTATAGCAAATTTTCTGGTAATGTGTTAGTATAAAAGAGCGCTTAACATAATTTTGGGGAGTTTTCAACCAATTCCTGACCAATCGCAAAACAGCTTTTGTAAAAGGATAGTTTTTGTAATAGGAAATAATAACATTACAGAGCGTAAGTTGATTTTACACAATTAATAAATTTATTGTATTGGAACATTGGCTGTTGAGCTGCTGAGTTATAGTCGCGGTCAACTGCATTAAAGAATTCGATTATGCTAATCCATCGATATCGATGTGTTTAATTCGTTTTCTTTGTTCCCATCTTAATTCTACAAATTATCTGAACACAATATTTTACTCGACCGGGTGTCAGCGGATAATCTTAATCGAATTCTTTAACAACAACAAAAACAGGCTGGGTTCGATATCCACTGTTCCAGTTCACATACTATGCCACCTACTTCTAATGATGTAGTTTTTAACAGCATCCCTAAATTCATATATAACCCTGAATATGGGCATACCTACTCGATGTGATCCGAGCGCTGGAGAGATATGTTCAGTATTGAATTCTGTTTATTAGGTCGATGCTTGGAAGACTTGGTTGTGGATGTGAGATTGAAAACAGCTAACATGCACTCTGTTGACCAAATTCTACGGAAGGTACTCCATTAATTTAGATTTAAGGAGACAGTAACACAGAGATGTTTAGGGAGTCAGCTTCACTGTTTACTATTCTTGATATAATGAGAAGTGGAGCTGGTGATTACGGTACTCCAGCATTTGATGTGAACCTTAAGTGTGAATATATCAAGTTAAGCTCGTTAATGGATAATTAGTTGAAATGTTTAGTGTTTATCAACGCTCTTCAGTTACCACAAGACCCGTCCTTTGATCCAACTGGTTACCAATCAGAACATTAATTGGAAGTTGATGGAAATATATCCTGAAAACGCAACAAGTATTGGATACAGAATGATAAAAGCATTAGTGTTTGTATAATATTGTCATGGAAAGCTTTGGATATTTAGTATCGATATTCTCACTGGAGCTGATTAGTTGGAAAATAAACCAGTCGCTATGCACTAGTAAAGACTGTATCCTGTGGACATATAGATCGTCTAAAAATTTATATAGAGGGTAATGTTTTCAAAAAAATTCTCATTCTTTGTAGCTTTAGACCAGATGTTGTCTTCTGATATGACGCGCTCAGTCATTCAAAAGGTTCGGGGTTGATAGTCATTATATTTGCATCGTTTAAAAACAAATAACTACTATATGTGTGACAGTTTCGACTTCATAAAGGCAGTTTTAGTATTTCTTATCCATCCATATATTATATATTTAATGCTATCGCACCACAGTTCATAGTATCCTAACATCAACTCCATCCCACTCATTCAGAAAAACAATGATGACATTATATTCATTTTTTCTTAAAACTTAAATTAATTTACCATAAAGATTTTCTAATATTCAATACCTTGTACTACCGTTGTGTAACAAACTATAGGTTAATTCAAATGCAATCAAATAGTAAGATGGGATAAGATTTTCACTAAGTTCATGAATTCGATTGATAATTCCAAGGTCGCATTCATTGAAGAGCAATCATTTTTCTCGGTATTCGGAGGTGAATTGTATAAAACCCTTTTAAATTAAATATGTTGCAGTCCTAAAGAAGGTCAGTTGTGAGTCGGCACATTGCCAGCTTCTTTGACTATAAAGCTAAAGGATGTGGATTCGAATCACTTCAGGTGCATTAGTGTTCCCTCACAATGGGGTCTATGGATTCGTGACCAGTTCTGATTGACACAAAGCCTAAACAGATTGGAGTTCCTTATCAACTACCCTTAAACACCACCTAATATTTCCATCTAGTACATGTAATGTAAAGTCACTTAGATTAGTTGATCATTTTGCAACTTAATTTATAGAATTCGACAAGCATAACAATAGTCATTACTTAGTGATTGTAGATTAGATTATATGTTTTGTAACTTATATAGTTGTTCACTTCCAAGCAGTATAATGAAATAATTCACAGAGAAGGAACATTTCTACTTATTCAAAGTTAAGTTGTTTGTTTTTGTTTTGCTATTAGATCTATGATCGGTGATGATGTTTATGATAATACTGATAATGATCAATGTAGTCAATGTGCTCGTAATCTTCTACATATTCCATTCGGTCGAATTATGGCGATGAGTACTAGAAAAGGTGAAGGTTTATTTCTATTGGATATTTTAAATAATGCTCAACAATTTATGTTGAATCGAATGAAAGGTTCACAAAGTAAGCAAACAATCATATATATACTGTAGCGATTTAATCGTATCATTCAACGTCTTTCCCACTTAACATTAAGTTAGTCATAATGTGTGAATAAAATGGATTTGTATAAATTAGTATAGAAGTAATCTTGTTTCGGTCTAGTGATTACGTAATTTTAGGGACTTGTTTGGAGAGTCAAGAAATCAGTCTGACATCAGTCTTCTGTGTTTTAACTTTATGTTATGACAATTGAAGTGGTTCTTCTTTCTCCAGTAAAAACAATAAGATCGAAGAATTGCAGTGTTTCCTAATTTCCAAGTAAAAGCAGTAAGACTGTAAGCCCAACAAAGTGGATAAGTGCATAGCACCAAAGACATTCGAGATATAACAGTGGTGATACATCTGACCACCCAGTCACACAAGTGCCGATGAAGTCATTTAAACAGTTATTACAAATCCTAACCTCAGTTCTAACTTTGACATCGCTGCTTTTAAGTTGTTCATTGTTTTGTTTGATTTTTCTTTTCCTTCATTAGATACACGAATAGCTCAAAGTGAATCAGTTAATCCATCATTGTTATGTCAAAATGAAATAGCTGATCATTTAGGTGTTACATGTTTGGTAACAACGATGTTTGCCTATCCACGTCAAAAACCAATTAATTTGCAGACATTTCTTGGTTTACCAGTGACATCAACACCAACAATGAAAAGTAGTCATTTGTTGAAATCATCACCTGTAAGCGAATTATGCGGATTAACTCTGCAATATTGTCATGCAAGACTGTGCAGGTATGTATTCAAAAATAAATTTGGCGAAATTGGCTAATCTGATGCAAAATATGCGATATATTTTAGGTGGAACGATTAAAAGAATGATTAACTCTGACTAGAAAAGAGCGTGGCTAAACTCAGACATGACGCTTTAACCGGGTTGATGGACACGGAAAGTTCACCTAGGGAGTTGGAAAACCCTGATTCCAAACCAATGGTGCATGTAAGCTTCAGTATCCCAAGGGAACGAATGGCGTATGAACCTATTGTTGGTCACCGGCTACCATGGGACTACATCTCCTTACGTTGCTCCACTGCCTTGTGGATTAGACCTTTAGGTCGAAGGCTCCTAGTGTGGCCTCCCAATAAAACTACCTGCTTCGGTTCGGGCGCCCGGGCAGTATTCCAGCTCTCACAAAAACCGAATGACGAAGTGTGCTGCATATATTTGTTACTTGCTTGTACCAATGTTTGTGTTTAAATGAATAAATAAATGATAATAAACCAAATTAACCGACTGAGCATAACTTATTCTAGAGATACATTCATTTCCAGTAAATTGATAAAAAATGATATTCGCTTTATTATTATTATTGTTATTATTATTATTACTTCGACTTTCTTGCCTTTTATTTAAAGCCTAGAATCTCGTTCAGTTTCCTCCGGTCTATTTCCATTCAAGGTTAATAACAGTGATCCAACATCAATGGCGTTTGATATGGATCACCTTATTCATGAATTTGATCAATTTACAAAATGGCCTTCAACGACAGTTAATGAAAAATCTTTTGTGAAATTGGCTGATCAGTTGTGCAGGTTGAGTTGCTTTTAAATATTATTTAATTGATAGTAAAAGCTGAGAATGTAAACATTATTATAATTAACTATATTTCAAGATAGTATACCACAAGACTGAATATGATACGTGTGTATGCGATTAGTTGTATTCCTCATTTTCACTTTCGGAAGTCTGATAGCTATGTATTTAAGATCTCTGATACCCTGATTTCATTGTAACAATACTATGAAGCTGTTAAATAGGCATTACGGTGAAGAATAATTGATCGCTACGACCTTGCATCTTTGCAAACGTTCATAGGACTTATCTGTTATTCACCATCCCTACTTAAACGAACATGATAACAATAAATGCACGATAAAACTTAACAGTTGTTTAATGGGGTGAAACGCGCTAGCCACTATCCATCTTTGCTTACCATGCTTGTGAATTTAGGCTATATCGAGACAATCCGCACAGTATGCACATATGCCAATTAGAGACTGACCAATTGCAGTCCTAAAAACTTCAATGGGAAGATCCAAACAAACAATACTAAGTAAATTAAAACTTCACCTCATTGCACAAGCATGTGGCTATCAGGACTCAGTGGCCGAGTGGATAACGCGATGGCATTGGAAGCGAAAGTTACTAGGTCCGAGTCCCAGAGTGAGCATCAACTCTGAAGTGCAGGTACATCCATCTGACGAGTCCCAAATGGGACTTGACACGCATCCTGGATTCCACCGCTAGCCACTATCCATATTTGCTTAACAGTTGTTTGTTCATATACAGTCATCACATCCATTGTGCTGCTCATTTACTGTGTTCAGGTGTTGTGTATTGCATTTATCTGAGATGTTGCGTATTTGTTCCGTGGTGACGCAGTAGCCTAATGGTTTCGGCGTTCAACTTTCAGCTACTAAATTCCAAATTTGAATCCCGTTACACCTACTCTGGTTTGGGCAACTGTTTATAATCATTAGCCCTTGCAGTACCTGGCGAATTAATATTTTTATGTTTATATGGATAGATACCTGAAAAAATGATCATTCATTTAGTTCAAATTAAGCAGTTGAATGGTGTTAATGACTTTAATCCAAAGAGAAATATTTGGAAATCAGATACACAAATCGGTATTTGATTGCTAAGTAGCCATAAGTACTACAATGAAGTTATAGTTAGTTCGGAAGTAAATTTCTTCGTTACTTTCCTTGAAGTCAAGTTGTGAATGTCCTTACCGGTAGAAAAGTATCACAGTACACATTGCAAACAGTTTAACACCTATGATCTACCTCTGATTGTTGGGAAATGTAAATGAAATGAATGAAATTATGAACTCTATTGACGATAATATCCCTGGTCATACTAAAAGCAAGACAATTAACATTATTGTTACCTTTATTATTATTATTATCATTATTATTATTATTTACCATATCGCTAACTCACCCCCTTTTATCCCCAATTTGTGTAACCTTACTTTTCAACTTATGCAGCAGCTCGCCCATGGTGGAAAATCTGTCCTATCTAAACGATCTCCAGTCACTGTCTGGTTGAAAGTGAATGCTTCCACCGATAATGAATACTGAGGCAGTCTTTCTGAAACCACGTACGCCGTTCAAGCTGGCTTCCTTCAACGTTCGCACACTAATGCATATCAGACAACAGATAGGGCTGGCTATGTCTTTGGAAGGTCTTAATGTTGATGTTTATTGTCTATCCGAGACCCGTATTCAAGACTCTAATGAAGTACTACAAATCCGCTCCATCTGTCGCCTCGAAGTGCTTGTTCCACGTGCGCTTATCCGGGGACCCTGTGGCATCTTCTTCTGGTCTTGCTGGCGTTGGTGTCGCACTGAGCGCTAGGGCTGAGGCAGCACTTATCGATTGGATCCCCATTAACAGTCGGTTATGTGCTGTTAGATTAGAAAGTTCCATCAAAGTGAGAAGAAACCGGCGGGAGAAACGGTGTCTTTTCGTCATCTCCGCCTATGCCCCGACAGATTGCAGCCCGGATGCAATCAAGGATGAGTTTTACCATCAGTTAACAGTTCTTCTCCAGAAAGCGCGTTCGACAGATATTGTAGTACTAGCCGGAGACTTGAATGCGCAGGTCGGGCGTCTAGGCACAGAAGAGAGTCGTTTAGGTGGCCGATGGGGACTTGTTGGTCGCCGGACAGATAACGGGGACCGTTTGCTGCAACTGTGCACAGACCACAACCTGTTTCTGGCCAGCACTAACTTCCGGCACAGTCATCGCCGGTGTGCCACCTGGCGTCCTCCCTCTGCATCCCAAGCCTGGACTGAGATTGATCACATCGCGACCAGCTACCGCTGGCGTGGTTGTGTACAAGACTGCCGCTCCTTTTGGAGTACCTATCTGGAGTCTGATCATGCCCTGGTCTGCGCCAATCTCACCTTACTTTTCAGTGGCCGAAGGATTGACCACCACCAACGGATTGATGTTAGTAAACTGGCTGCAACTTCTGTTGCAAGTAAGTATCGAGCGGAGCTAACCTCTAGGCTAGCTACCACCCCACCGAAAAGTATAGATGAGCATTGGTTGCATCTTCACGACGCCATGAAAATGGCGAGTAAAGCCGCTTGCGGCTTCGCGAAACGTCCCGCTTACAAGCACTGGGTTTCTTTTGGCTCCTTACAACTGATGGAAGCCCGTCGGTCTACTCCGGGTGACCGTGAGTTTGACCACAAACGAAGGCTGTTACGTAATGAAATCGGGCAAAGCTTGCGTAAGGACCGGGAAGCCTGGTGGTCGGAGCGTGCTAATGAGATGGAAGCAGCAGCTGCATCTGGTAACTGCCGGAAGCTCTTCCAACTCATCCGAGCCACTGGCAGCAAGAAGTCTGGTGTGAGTGAAACAATCTACGAGGATGATGGGATGCCAATCACTAACATCTGTCGACGTCTTGGACGATGGGCGGAATTTTTCGAAGGGCAGTTCAACTGGCCTGCTGCTCCGGCAACATCAACCAGCTTGTCCTGCCCCCATGGCCGGTGACGACTGATCCACCAAACGAGGCGGAAGTCCGCAAGGAACTCCAACTCTTGAAACGTTATAAATCACCTGGCCCAGATGACTTACCTCCGGCTCTTTTTAAAGATGGTGGTGACTTTCTGGCTAAGGAACTGACTGCGTTGTTTGTAAAGGTTTGGGAGCAAGAAAGTGTTCCAACATCATGGAATGAGTCAATAGTCGTCCCTATCTTTAAAAAGGGTTCACGTTGTTCCTGCAATAACTATCGGTGGATAAGTCTACTTTCGATTGCGTCCAAACTATTGGCTTCTATCATTCTTCGTAGGTTGTTTAAAACCCGAGAACGATTGACTCGCGAGGAGCAGGCTGGTTTTCGTTCTGGTCGAGAATGCATTGATCACATCTTCACCCTCCGCCAAATGTTAGAACACCGTCATACTTATCGCAGGCCAACAATCGTAGTGTTTCTTGATATCAGGGCGGCCTTCGATTCGTTGGACAGGACTGTTCTCTGGGATTGTCTATTGAAGAAGGGTGTGCCTGAGAAGTTCATTAACATCTTAAAGGCCCTGTATACGAACACCTCAGGCAGAGTGAGGGCATACAACCACCTTTCTCCCTTGTTCCATTCGAGCAGTGGGGTTAGACAGGGTTGCCCGATCTCACCATTCCTCTTCAACTTTGCCATCGACGACATCCTGGAAACAGCTCTGATGGATGTAAGTAATGGCGGTGTGGATATGTTGCCTGGAGAACGACTTCTCGACCTTGAGTATGCGGATGATATTGTCTTACTGTGCGATAATGCCCAAGGCATGCAATCAGCACTTAATCAGTTGGCAATCAGTGTCCGCAGGTACGGCATGTGCTTTGCACCCTCCAAGTGCAAAGTACTCCTACAAGATTGGCAGGATTCTCATCCTGTACTCACCCTGGATGGTGAGCAGATCGAAGTAGTTGAGAAGTTCGTGTATCTAGGTAGCTATATAAGTGCTGGTGGTGGCGTGAGTGATGAGATTGATGCACGTATAATGAAAGCCAGAGCGGCTTATGCCAATCTGGGCCATCTTTGGCGCCTTCGTGATGTTAGTCTGGCTGTAAAAGGTCGGATCTACAACGCGTCGGTGAGAGCAGTTTTGCTCTATGCTTGTGAAACCTGGCCTCTCCGAGTTGAGGATGTTAGACGTCTCTCTGTGTTTGATCATCGTTGTCTCCGAAGGATTGCTGACATCCAGTGGCAACACCATGTTAGTAATGCAGAGGTTCGGCATCGTGTGTTCGGGCGCAGAGACGATAATTCAATTGGTGTCACCATCTTGAAACACCGACTTCGGTGGCTTGGACATGTTTTACGAATGTCGTCCCAGAGACTTCCACGTCGTGCATTATTTGCCGACCCTGGGACTGGTTGGAGAAAGCGGAGAGGAGGTCAGTGTATGACATGGTGTCGTGGCATGAAAGAGAGCTGCAAAGGACTAGCTTTTGTTGGTCCTTCACGACTCCCTGGTTGGGGTCCGAGAGATAGTGCAACACAGTGGCTAGAGACGTTATCAGATATGGCTCAGAATAGAAGCCAGTGGCGATCCTGCTGCAACCTTCTTTTACTTTCTACATAAAGAATGGTTATAACTTTCCTAACTGAAAGAGTCTTCTGGTTGTACATTTCAGCCCGCCTTATCTTTTCATCCCTTCTCTTCCTACTTTCATTATTTTGTGTGGCGCATATGTACCTGGTGCCCTTTTGTACCAATATATATGTGTTTAAATAAATAAAATAAATAAATAAATGTAACTTTGATACTGTAGTGAACGAGAATACAAGTGGGGACAACCAAATGTATTTCACTACAAAATTGCAGAACGTCTTTGTGAGATCTGAGAACCATACAGTAAATACTTCATTTGCAAAATGTCAATCAATCGTCTCAGACTTCAGTTCCTTCATGTCCACATCAATTACTCTCTGTCCTCGTTCTCTTCTTAACTTTTTCCCTCTAGGCATTTCACTTTCGATTAATGATGATGGCTAGGTTAATTGTTTGACTAGATACTGTTCATTTTAATTTATATTATCACCTCTCTTTTATTGATAGATTTTCTACTGTGCTTCATACCGCTTATTCAAAATACGAACCACATTACTTACTACAATATGCATTACAACTTACGTAAGTCGCCCATATCTCATACATCAAAATTATATCTACTTTTAAAGTATATTTTAAAATAAATAGAATGAATGGAATGTGGTTAGCAGCGTTTCTACCTATTCGGGATTCGTCACCTGGACGCACCTGCATACCTATGTTGATGCTTATCCGGGACTTAAACTCAGTACTTATCGTTTTGAACGCTACCGCTTTTATTTTGCGGTGTTGATGTTGTTCGACAACTCAAGCCCGTCCATATGTATATCATGTTCTACGTTACTTAATCCTAAAAGCTTTTAAGCACAAGACTGTTTGATTTTGCTTTGTGAACACTATTGTAGTACTATAGTAGCTTCGTCTGACCCATAGACTTCATTCAGTGTGCATGAAACATATATCAATGATTAACTTCTTTATCAGCAATAATTCCGTTTTTTATGAGTTATATACTTTACGAACTGGTCTCAGTTGGGTTATGATTGATAATCATGGAGCGCTGGATGGCTTTTCGGTCAAAGTATGAGACTTCTCAACATAATGCACCTGTAGTACCGTCATTTGTCTAACCTATACTAAGATAATACACTTGTCTATTTCTGTCTGATTTTAAACAATGCTCTAATTAAAGCTACTCTGTAACGAATACAACCTGTAATCTTAACTAATCTTCACAAAACTCCAACTAAAGTATGTTTACTGATTTGTCCATATTCCACACCATTTTTTTACAGCTCTGATGTAAACTCAGCTTGGAAGCATTTGCCAGTTTTGACATGCACAAATAAAGAAGATCAACTAGTAAGTGTGATCGATATCTGTTTAATTCTTCCTCCCCCCTCTAATGGAACTGTATTAGAACTAAGTAGACAATTAACTTGGTACAAATAAAACATTAGTGACGTAACAGAGATCGTTAAATTGTGACAATTTTCCCATGAAATTAAAATCTAAGCCATCAAATGAATAAATTTCTGGGGACGAAACGCCTAGTCGATTGACAGAGTTTATGTAGGCTATATTTGGCAAAGATTGTTTTCATATATAGTATCACTGAAAATCAGGAAATACGAAACAGCTGTTTCATCATAGTTAGGAAATTTTCGTCAGTACACATCTACGACTCTTTCCCAGGTCAAATCCAGAACTTTCACTTCTAGTAGCGAACAATTAACCATTAAGTTGGCTTTCAATTTTAATCCATTCGTGATAAAGAGTTATAGTTATTTAATGTCATTGTTGACAACGGTTTCGCTCTCTACATAAGTCTGAACCTGTACTAGTCATCATCAAACACATCAGTATTGGGTTGTGGAGATTGTTGAGTTTATATTGATATCATGAATTGATCAGTGTTAGACCACCATTGAAAACCTGGAAGCACTAGATGGCCATTTCGTTAAGGGTTGGAGTAAAATCTTCAGTTTAAATTACTGTTTCTTATGTATCACTTGACCAACTAAAAGAACTGAAAGAGGTAACACATCAATTAAGCATTGAAATCATTATGAGGACAACCTCAACTTCAATGATTTATTTGTATGCTTTAAATAAGTGTAATATGTTGCCCCCAAATGCCCTGGTACGGCCGAGAGTGGGGAGAGTCACCTCTCCCTCTCTAAATGCTCTCATATGGCCAGCGAATATATAGCCTCTTCCAGGGAAGTCCTACTCACTGCCTTCTCGTGGCGGGGGTGTTGTTTACGAAAGTGAGAGGACGAAAAGCGAATGTCCGGCGCTTTAACCGGGTTGGTGGACTCAGAAAGTTCACCTAGGGGAGTTGGAAAACCCTGATTCCAAACCAATGGTGCACATAGGCTCCAGTATCCTGAGGGAACAAATGGCGTACGAATCAACCGTTGATCACCGGCTACCATGGGACTGCATCTCCTCACGATGCTCCACTGCCTTGTGGATCAGACATTCAGGTCATAGGCTCCGGGTGTGGCCCTGTGTGAAAACCACCTGCTTCAGTTTGGGCACCTGGGCAGTATCTCAGCCCTCACACAAATCGAATGAGATTTGTGAGGCGCATATTTATCTGGTGCTTCCTTGTACCAATATTTATGTGTTTAAATAATAATAATAATAATAATAGTTCTAATCTGTAGTTTTCTTTGTTAAATTATAATTCACTATGATGCTTATATAATTCTTATTCTTATCTACTTTTTCAGATACGTCTATTCATCTTTCTAGCTTCTAGAAATGTACTTGCCTCATGTTTACGTTTAATGGGAATCAGACCGTTGAGTGCGATATAACGGTTAATATTATTATTATCATTATGAAAAAATAGTCCTTCCATGCTTGAGTTCATATCTCAGTGTATAATATAGATTGATTAAACAAACTACCCTTTTTCTTCATTTACACTTATTCTTATTTCTATGTACAGTTATCATTTATTGTTTAAAATAAATTATTATCGTCAATCGTATGTATTTTTATTGTGTGTCACTGGGCTTTTAACAAAGAACTGGAGTTAACAGACTACCTTTGTCTATCAAAACATTATATAGATATCTTCAAGAATGTCCCACAAACTGTCGGATGAAAGAGTTTTGACGTAAACCATGTACACCATTGATTTGGAATCAGGGTTTTCCATTCCCCTAAGTGGATTCACCGTATCCACCAACCCGGTTAAAGAGCTGGACATTCGATTTCCGTCCTCTCACCTTCGTAAACAACAGTAATGCCACGAGAAGGCAATGAGTAGAATTTCTTTGTCAGAGGCTATATACGCGTGGCCATGTGAGAGCATTTCGAGATGGAGAGCGGACTCTCCTGACTCTCGGCCGTACCAGGGCATTCAGGTGCATGGAATGCTGTTGCCCGGATTCGAACCTGGATTAGTACGGCCACAACGCAATATCCTAAGCACTAGACCACAGCGACGATGAACACGCGTCCCGAATATCCAGTAATATAGATAAGTAGGAATATTTGACAATAATAATAAGGTATAAAGTAAAATTAAATCAGTGTACAACATTCATTTTTTTGAAATAGAGTTTCATGACTGTTAAATAAACAAAGACTGACCCTATGAAGTCAAAGTGGTAAGTGTTTGGATGAATGCTATTGGTTGTTTTAGAAAGGGATGATAATTGATAATTGAAAGCGTGAGTCAATTGAAGCTAGACGACCATGGAAACACTGGACGGCCGTTTCGTCCTATTATGGGACTACTCAGCTGTGTCCATCCACGAACCCGCTCTCGCGAGATTCGAACCCAGGACCTACCAGTCTCGAGCAGAAGCCCTTAAACGATAGACCACTGAGCTGGCATCCAACGATGTCAATGTCTAACTTCAACTGATCCACGAAGTTAATAGGACGAAACGGCCGTCTAGTGTTTCCAGGTTTTCCGTGGTGGTCTAGCTTCAATTGACTAACGCTTTCAACTATGAAAAATACTAAATCTCCACAAAACCCCTTCTGATTGATAATTGATAAATCGAATGGTGTTACATACATAAGTAGCGTACGCCATATATATAGTTAAGTTTAATTCTAGTGGCAAACCAATCAGGAGCAACTCAGCCATTTCAAAGTCACGAGACGCTGTTTATCACCTGTATCACTCATTTTAGTGAAACAAAGATCACTATTTAACATTGGGCTGTCGCGGAATTCACTTATGTGGGATTGTTAATGTTAACAAGTTGTAAGAAAATGCAAAAAAAAACTATGAGATGAAGCGATATTTCATTGTGATGTTCATTTAAAACAATATACCTAGGAAAAATGTCTTTTTCCCTCGTATACAATGAAGACATGAACGATTAATGCTTCTTGCAATCCACTGAGCTGTATGATCCAAAATAATTCCTATAGCTACCTTGATAAATATGTAACAACGACTTAGTTTATCTTTGAACAATAGGATTTCGTAGTGTACAATTTTGGTGTACCAAATATTGATTTCCTTTAGAACTCTAACGGTTATAACAAGAATATACAATTAAAATGTGAAAAGCATTGAAGATGAATCTAATGTATTGTTTCATCCTATTTGGGACTCGTCAGCTGGATGTACCTACATCTCAGAGTTGTTGTTCACTCTGAGACTCGAACCCAGTATCTTTCGCTTCCAATGCCATCGCGTTATCCACTCAGCTACTTAGTCCTGATAGCCACATGCTTGTGCAATGGGGTGAAGTTTTAATTTACTTAGTTTTGTTTGTTTGGATCTTCCCATAGATGTTTTTACGACTGCAACTGGTCAGTCTCTAATTGGCATATTGTGCGTATTGCTTAGATATAGACTGATCAGTTGCAGTCCTAAACATTAATGGGAAGATTCAAACAAACAGCATTAAATGAATTGAAACAGTTATCTGTTTACTCATTGTTTACCGATAGTTCGATTCGGTTTATGTATAATCTAACCTTCATTTATGTCTATTCACCCACCAACACACACATACATGGACGTAAACAAACAAAAATGTGTGCTTTCATTGTGAAACACATTCTCTCTTAATTTCCATTTATTTGGCTTGTTTGATTTTCAAAATACAACTTAAGTTCCTGAAAAAAAAATCGACTGAAAATTCCTTGCTTCTTCTATAGCTAATTCATATTCACTTAGAATAGTCTCGCTTCACCATTAAATTTGTTTTTTTCTTGTTTAACATATCAAAGTTTCAAATGCCCTGGTACGGCTGAGAGTGGGAAGAGTCCGCTCTCCCTCTCAGATGGCCACGCCTATATAGTTTCTGCCACGGAAATCCCAATCACTGACTTCTCGTCTCAAACAAAAAAAGTTGTTCGGAGGTTTATCTAATCATGTCACTCACTTCTAACTGGACGCTTTTAGTGATTCATATCTTGTTGCTGAGACGTTTTATATTTTTTTCAATACTATCACTACTACTAGTAATGCTACTATTATTATTGTTACCACTAGTTGGCTATTTCATCACTAAAAGTCTACTATGATTAACAATTTTGCAAAAAATAAATAATGATAGATCTTTATTACTTGAATTCATGAGTCCATCTAAGCTAGACCACCGTTGAAAACCTGGAAGCATTAGATGACCGTTTCGTCCTAGTATGAGACAGTTGAACAGTGCGCGTCCACGATCCCGTCCACAGGAATCGGAACTAGGACCTTTGGTCTCTCGCGCAAACGCTTAATCTCTAAACCACTGGGCTGGCATCCAACTGTGTTATTAATTAACTTCCATCGATCCATGAATAGATACTCAACCAACTATCCGTTATCTGAGATAGATACGTGTGTCTATTCGATATGGATTAAAGAATTCCGATCACGGTTTCTTTCTAGAACTCCAGTGATTCCAGGTTTTCAGTGGTTGTCTAGCTTGAATCGGCTTATGATTTCAACTACTAGAATCGCTACAAAATCCATTTTGACCATAAAAATAGATCTGTCAAATAATAATTGGTATCTAATGTTGATGATTACTATCTTTACAATATGATAATTCATTTCAAGAAAGAAATTGTCACCAGGATTTATTTCTCATTTATAATCTGCCGCTACACAATATATTCACACACACAGAGACACACATAACAATTACTTCTATCTTTATTTTGTTTGACTGATTTCCCCTTTTATATTAGTTCGAATTTATCAACTTTATAGATTCAATGTATATGATTAGAAAAGAGATCAATGTGAATGGTGAATGTTTTATGTGTCTCAAATTACAATCATCAGTGTACAGTTTTAATCAAAAACAAACAATAAAAAGTAATAAACAAGATATCATGGGAGAGAATACAAAAAAGAAGAGATGTCAATGACATACATACCAAGAAATCTTCTAAAAATGGTAATGAAAAAAAAAGTTGTTTTCCTTTAATCTATCCTACTATGAAATCGTTTTTTTTCTCTCTATTTCTAATGAGATTTTATTTTTTAAACAAAAACCTAGATAAAAATAATTGATTTGTTTTTCAGCGGCGGGGGTGGGTGGGGCGGATTTGGAGATGTTTTAAAATTGTTCATATTCTTACTATCAAAGTTGATTGTTTTTTTTTGGTTTTTGCCTTTCTTCTTTGTTACCATAGAAAGAACACTCTCAGGTTATGTAATCAGTTGTATTGAATATAAATATTTGTATAGTATGATAGAGATTTGATTAGGGAATCACTATGAACTCTATCATTAAGGCATATAAATACACTATTCTTAGAATGTCTATTAAGTGCTTTCAAAGATTTCTGAAGGTACGTTGAAATAATGTATATATATGTATGTATATGAATTAGGCACTTTTAAGTTTGGCTTTTTATTTAGGCTTCATATTCATAGATTAAATCAGTTGACGTCTCAGAAATATTTTGATCATCTGATCTAATTTGTAAATGACTACTTTTATCTCTATCAGTTACATATTTTGGTTTATATTGATGATGATGACGATAGTGATGTTGTTGATGCTTTGGAGATGAGTGTGGGGAAATTGATTTTGTCGGTGATAATGATGAATGGCTAATAGTTCGATGTCCATAAGGTTCAGATTGATAAATAATAATCTTGATTGGTTCTTCATGTGTACTACAAGCATTTTGTGATGTATCTGTTTCAGATATGGAAGTTGAATTATTGACTGGTGAATCTAAAATTTAATAAAATGAACAATGGATTATTCAACCTTAGCGAGGATATTTAGCTTCGTTATACATTTCTATTTAAAAGAACGACTTACGCTCATAAATTACTGAAGATTATTGTTCCTGATTAGACAGTGAAAGAACTGATACATTTCTTTCTCGCTTTACAGATCTTTGATATATATATATATATATATATATATATATATATATATAAGATAGTGGTTAGCAGTAGGATTTAAAATAAATGGCAAGTTTGATGTGTATGTATTCCAATGTTAATACCTACGATTTTACTTGAAAATAATACTCTTCTTTTGAAACCTTGGGGTATTACTTAGTGGGAAACTAAGTAACTCTACCTACCTACCTTTTCAACAGGTATGAAGTAATTGTGTGTAAAGGGTTTCTGTAGATTTTTCTACTCCGCAATTTACAGCACGAACTGGACTTACATAAATGACCATTGGAAAATAGAAGGCACTGAGTAACAGTTTTACCCTATTACGGAACTACCCCATAGTTCTACAAAGAAGTTGTGTTAGGTAGAGTTTATCTATGTTGAGTGTAAAGCAGTTATTAACCAATGGTCTCTGAAGATGACTGAGCAACGAGACAAATCGACCGGTGTCAAATATATAAGTCACTAGATATCAAGGTTAAGCACTCATTACGAGACTTGAAATTCCTAGGTTCGATCCACCCGAGGGTAATGTCTGAAAATTGCTAATTTCGTCTCATACTAGGATAAAGTGACTATCCGGGGATTTCTGGTTTCTGATGGCTAGTTCGTAATTTACTCGATGGAGATATGATATATGTAATCAACTGCTTGGTTTCTTCATCCAGATGGAGTTCAGTATCAAAATTTCAATCTATATGTAAATCCAGGTATTATTAAAGCCTATGTTCAAAACACGTTAACAAGTGTTGATGAAATCCAGTCTTGAATATCAGCAACCAGAAATCACAAACGGTGTTCATGACGGCGGTAATAAAAAAAAATAGTGGATTACGATCCTGTTTAGGAGAGAACAACTTTGGTTTCTCCTTGGGTTTTAATTCCACCTCAATTTATATCAGTCTTTGAAGAATAAAACTTACAATTAATAGAATTTCATGACATCAAATGAGTGAAAAACATCTAAGATATAAAACCGAATCTTTTCAAAACTGCAGCAGACTGTAAGAGGTTACTTGATCCTGTTTTTATCTCTAAACGCATTCAGACTAATCGATTCTCTTGAAGCTTATCTGGTCAATATACAAGTCCATTGAGTATTTTGTAGCCAATTTTCAGTAAAACATTCAAAATTAATGACTAAGTAGTCTTAAAATAGTCGACTTCTAACCACGATATATATATATATATATATATATATATATATATATATATATATATATATATATCAATTTGATAGTAAATGTTAGACCAAACCTACTTTCTGAGTTTTCCATATCTGTTTCACCTTCTCCCTTCAATAACTCTAAACTATTTTTTGAATCTGTCCTGGATAAGGTTGTTTCGTCTTCGTTGTCATCATCATCATCTTCTACATGGTCAGTAGTTACGATAAGATTTGTTCGTCTTGAAATTTCTTTTAGACGATTCCTGCAATCTCCCTCTCTTTGTTCATTTGATCCTTCTTCCTCTTCATCATCATCCTCTTCTTCATCGTCATCATTATCATCTTTGTGATATTTATATCTTTCTATATTTGTACGAATATTATCCACCGCTGAAGTATTCGATCCATACATTAACATATTTTGTTGAAAATCATTTAAACCATAAATTCGTCTATTACATGATAACTTATCATCAGTCAATAAAACATTCTGTATTCCAACTGATGGATAAAGAATTTGATGATGATGATTATGTGGAGACTGTGAATGATGATGTTGATGATGTAAATGTTGATAGTTAGGATTTAAAAGTATATGTGAATGTTCACTACCACTACAACAATAAGGATTACTACTAATACTACTTTTATCACTACTAGTACTATTACTACTAGTACTAGTAATAGTAGTAGTAGTGGTAAGATGTGATACTACTGTATTATTCAAATTATTCTCATTATGTATAGGAGTTGTATGTCTAGATAATTTATTCACATTACTAACTACATTATTATTATTATTATCATTATTTGATGTCATAGTGGATGATATTAATGAATTAATAATACGTGGACGTTTAGCTTGTGGTGGTCGATAATCTTTCGATGATGATGTAATGAATTGTCCTGTACAAATTGTTGATGATGATGTAACAATATTGAGTAATCCGACACCACAGGTTAATGATGTAGATGTTGTCGGAATAAATTGTTTAGTATTCATAAACATTTTATGATGATAATTTGTAAATTGATTATTATTATTGTTATCATGTAATCCATTGACATCAGGCATACTGACATAAGTATCAGATCTTTTAATACGATATAAATGTTCTTGACTATTACTAACAGAATATAATTGACATTTTGGTATAGATGATAGTTGGGATGGTTTGAAATGACGTAAATATTGTAACGATGGTGATTGATTATCATGTTCACAATATATATGTACATTATTATTATTATTATTGTAACGTAAACCACCACCCCATGATTGTGTACGATTTATAGTACTATTTATATTAGAAATTTTTTGTTTCAAATTATGATCAGTTTGTGATAGATGTGTATTGGTTATAATAGGTAATTCTTTATCTATTTTAGGATAAATATTAGTTGCTATCCAATTTCCATGATTTTGTGGACTGGATAAAACAGAATGGGATTCTAGTGCAAAAAAAAAGAAAAGATTTTTAATTCTGAATAAACTTCTATTATTCTTAAAGCATGGAAAATCAAAGTGTACTCAGAAACTATATTATAATAACAATGGCAATTGAACATCAAGAAACGATTGTTTGGCTATCAGGACTCAGTGGCCGAGTGGATAACACGATGTCGTTTGGAGCGAGGGTACTGGGTTCGAGTCTCAGGGTGAACATCAAATCTGAAATGCAGGTACATCCGGCTGACGAGTTCCAAATAGGACGAAACGTGCGTCTTGGATTCCACTGCTAACCACTATCCATCTCTGCTTACCATGATTGTTTAGAATGTTTCTCTTATTTCCTAGATTATTCAGTAGATGACTGAATGTTCATGACTTTCAAGTATCATTATAAGGTCATAACTCATTGTTTTGTTATAAAGTTGAGATCACGATTCAATTGAAGCTTAACCACCTTGGGAAGCCTAGAAGCACTGGACGGCCGCTTCCTCCTACTGTGGGACTCCTCATCAGTGCGCATCCACGATCCGGCCTCTCGAGATCCAAATCCAGGACCTACCAGTGTTAATGTCTAACCTGAACCAATCCACAAAATTGCGCGACCAACTTCCATTGTACTGAGGTAGATACCTGTCTCTACCTGACATAAATTAGCTACACTGGTCACGACGTCTCACTAGAACTCCAGGAACTGCCTCATGGAACCAGTCACTAGTGAGCATATGATCTTTATCAGAATAGGGTTTCGTGGAGATTTTAGTAATTTTATGTAGTTGAGATCATTAGTCAATTTAAGCTAGACTACCATGGAAAAGCTGGATTGGTTGAGGTTAGACATTAACATTGTTGGGTGCCGGCTCAGTGGTTTATGGGTTAACTGCTCTGGCGCGAGACTAATAGGTCCTGGGTCCGAATCTCGTGAGGCGAGGTCGTGGACGAGCACTGTTGAGGAGTCCCACAATAGGATGAAACGGCCGTTCAGTGTTTTCAGGTTTTCTATGGTGGTCTAGCTTCAAATGATTCATGATATGAACTATATAAAATTACTAAAATCTCCATGAAACCCCCCTTTTGATGATGATCATTGTTTCGTGTTTTCTGGTTCTAATCTGTGATAATGACCAATCGATAAGTTATTTTACTACCGCAAGGATACATCGTTATTTTCTAAATAGGTACATTGGATTTCATTTGTAATAAGTTTTTTAATGAAGCTGAAACAGTTGTTCAACCCTCTGTTGTATTGTAATGATAGAATAGGCTATGTGAGTACAGACATGTCACGTACTTGTGCTCACGACCACCTCAAGGTCAAACGTGAATTGAGAAATTATGAACTAGTCGCTATATTCACTTAAAATCAAAGTCTAAGCCTAGATGTCTTTATCTGTCTTAGAAGGATAACAGTATAAGACCCTATGATTTATTGGCAAGACCATAATTAATTGACGAACCAATGAGATTTAAGATACTAGGTCATGAATCTTGGCGGGAAATTAATTGATCCATATGACTAAACAGCATTTTGGGATTATAGCTTATATCAGTTTGTCATGAAAACCCTAACACCTAACTATAAATCTTAATATTAGTTCCCCATATTATTTTTTGTAACCTTCTTTTAACCCTATTAAATAGATGAAGACCCTGAAGGTCACTTTAGCATCGCTCAAAGGTTATCCGTTAAATATAATCCTACTAATTTATTTACACCATAATTTGATTCACCAAGTAAACTAATCAGAAATGAAGTAATAATTTGAATGCTTATACGTTGTTGACCAAACTAGATTTGCTTTAAATTTCAATCAATGTATTCCATTAGTGGAGTGTTTCATAAATGACATCTATATTATGTCTAAAGATGGTTTCATAACGCACTTATTCTTCTAATCTATAACTGAGAAATTGTAATCATCAACCTAGAATTGAATATTCAGGGCATTCAAAACTCTTAAGCAAAACGAAATCTTCATAAAATTCAGCTAAAATCTAATGGTCCATATTTCTAACTCCTGTTTTCATAATCAACCATTTATCAATTATTGTTTATGGTATAATGAAATAAAAAAACAATTTAATTGTTCAGTCTACTGTTGTAGTGTATGTCACTTATGCCGACAGACATAAGTAGTATATAACTCTAATCCGAAGTGGAAAACCAGTCAGTAAAAAGCCAAGAAGACTGATTTGAAGAAAACAGAAACGGAAATGTAAAGAAACTGTGACTTGAACGTATCATACAGAGTGTGAAGTACAAATGATAAAGATATGAAAATGAAGTATTCAATGTATGCTTTTCATATTTTTTAGGTCATTCAATAACAGATCGGTCATCTTCACCTGACTGCACATTCACTACACTAATACTAGACGCTTAAACGAGCGATAACGACACATGATTACTTGTTACCTAAAGCTTAATTTTCTTGCCGTTTGAACAGGAACTAAATTTAATGAAAAAAAAGAGTTCAATTAAAATGGTACTGAAACTAACGCACAGTTTGCAAAATAAAATAGTCTCTTATGTTTAATGTATCTGGATGTGTCTGTCTATACTCAATTACTGATAAAAAATTACAGTTTAATTACTTTTAACAATTGGATTCATGAGTCGATCTAAGCTAAACCACCACTGAAAGCCTACAAGCAATGAACAACCACCTTGCTCTAGTATGGGACTGATGAGCAGTACGCATCCACGATCCTGTACCAAAGGGACTCGAACTCAGGACGCTAGTCACTGGTGAATAGCTTGAAATTAGATTTCCTGGAGTTCTAGTGAGAAGCCGTGACCAATGGAGTTCAATCCGTGTCGGGTGTGAGACAGTTATCCACCTCAAATAATGAATAGAGAGTTGGATTGGTTGAAATTAAACAGTAACACCGTTCGATACCGGCTCAGTAGTCCAAAGGTTAAGCTTTCACATATAATTTCAAAAGTCCAGACTTCTCGTCCCATTTCGTGCGATCGTGGATGGGCGCTGCTCACCAGACCCATTCTGGGACGAAACAGCCAACTAGTGCTTCCAGATTTTCAATGATGTTCTATCAAACAAAGTGTATATAATTATTAAACGAAAAAAAAAACAAAACACTTTTTCCCCACTCATATTTCACTACCTGTTTTATTTCCACTTCTTTTAATTTGTTCTTGTTGTTGTTGTTCAATCATTCGTTTTTGTACAAATGTATGTTTATTCCATTCACATATATCATTTTGTTCATATGATGTTATTGGATATGATCCATATGTATGTGTTAATAATAATGGTTGAATTGATTTATCATGTAATGTATTTGTCATTGTTCTAACTGAACTAATTGTTGTATTCGGTAAACTAATTGATTCATTCATTGTTTTATTTACATTACCAATACTACTTTTATTAATATTAGTAGTAGTAGTATTGGTACCTTGTAATGGAATACATTCAACAGTTTCTTTGTCAATTGAATATTGTTTCATAGGATTAATCTTCTTTTTGGATATTTTTTCATCAGAATTATTATTATTACCTTTTGTTTTAATGAATGAATATTTAATAAGATTTTTTTGTGAATTCATTTGACATTGTGAAGAGGATGGTAATTTGATATTCTCACTTTTACGTTGCCATAGCAACGGTGCATGAATACTATCAGTACTATTCCAAATCATTGTAGTATTTCGGCTATCAGATTTTTTCATAGATTTCAATTCACGCATCATCATCATTGATTGATTATTATTAGTAGTAGTAGTAGTATTTGAATATTGATTATCTTGGGTTAAGCTTGAATTAGATAAACTGAATATTGGTTTCTTTTTATGGTTATTATGATTATTATTATCTTTATTCAAATGATTACTTCCTTCTAATAATACACCAGTAGACATAACATGATTTAATCGTTGTAAACGTCTATCATTCATTTTACCTGATTGTATATTTTGTTCATCTTCTTTAGATTTTATAAATTGTCGGGCTGTTTCACGTCGACGACGACGTATAGTCATAACTTGAAAGTTGAAGAAAACCGAAACGTATAAAATAAGTTAGAATTTATAGATAATGCAATGAGAAGACGAAGTTTAACAGAATTATGTGATATATGTTTGCGCAATACATTTCGAACAATCTTTAATTAAGGGTAACGGAAGACATATCTAAATGGCTGCAGAAACAAATGAATTCCAGTAGTCAAATAAGATCACAAGATAGACAGACATCTTCTTCCATTGAGAAACATTTGATTGAAACTGGTCATAAGATTGACATCAAGTTAGCATTTGTAGTGTTGTATAAAAGCCTTTAAGAATGTATACTAAGATTTATTGAAGCCTTGGCTATACGGAAATTGAAACCCCATTTATGTGTTTAAAAACAATTTGTTCTTACTGTTAAGTTACCCTGGTATTGCTGATTTATTATCTAGAGTGGTCATCACATTGTTTTTGTGTATTAAGTTCCTCTTTTGACTCAGTGGGACTTTGTTACGACTTACCTTTAACCTGTCTAGTTGACCTTTTAATTTTCATATAAAAAATGTCTTAACAAGTATATTATGCGTGATCAGATTTTTCGAAATGTAGAAAATAGTCTTCATCATTTAAAATCTATATTATAAACTGTCGTCAGTTAGATATTTGGCTTGTTATGCTATGAAACTCCTTCCTTAACAGTAATAACACACGATTTCACCATGTATTTAACTCAGAACTTCAAAATCTTATGACACATGCATAGGTTTTAGAACTATTCAGTTTGTATTTAATGATGCAGTTCCAACCACAGTCAATTGGTGTTACAGTAAGATGATCATCCAATTTTTTTCATCTATAGTATGCGTAGACTCTGTCAGTGAGGTTTGATGACTAGAACTCCAGGAATATCTTGAAATAGTTTGTGGTATTTACTGTAATTTGTTTGAAGATGTTTTGCGAAGGTTGATTTCACTTGTAGGTTGTATATATCACAAACTGATCTTAGTTGAAGGTACCATTGAATAATACGAGACACTAAACAACTCTCTCATCCTAGTGCGGAAATTTCTGAAGATGACCATCCACGATCCTACTAAGAGACCAAATCAAGGAGCTTCAAGCATACTAATGAAAACCTAATCAATTTGAAACGTATAAAATATACAAAATAAACTAATCGCTGCAAAATCCCTTCAAATAAACCATAAAAATTCTTTGAACATAAACCAATCAACATGAGCGATAATAAGAATAATTCGACTTACATATACATGTGGATGTGACAATCAACAATATTAAGCCTAAAGTGGCCAATATAGATAAATGTAATTTTTGAGCAGCCAAACGTTCCGCTTCCGCTTCAAGTTGCTCTTGTTCTTTTCTTAATTCAAATGCACTTTTACTAGTATCTTGTATTAGTTGACCGTCAGGACCTAATACATTTGGATGTAAGCCTGCAAATAAAGTCAATAAAAGAAAGATTTTGTTGAAGAATTGGAATCATATTGGTGAAAACATGCTTTTTTCACGAATGCTTTCCTTCCCAAGATGATGGAAAATATATTTGTAGCTTAAGATGAGGATGTTAGAGCTGTTGTGATCTCTTAGCTGGATAGTTCGGATGTGAACCTTTGATTGTATGACTACTGAGAAACATCATTAGCACTTAACTCAGAGAGAACTACGTATTGACGATGTTCAGAAGAACAATGAAAGTTTCACAGGCCGACCATCCAGCCCAGAGAACACGGAAAAATCGACGATGGTTACTGTTCACCATTATTATGGTCACAGATTCCCAGTGTTGAGGAGGGGTTTTAACAGTTCATTCGACTATACTGGTTCAATTAGAGACATGAACTGCTTTGATATAAGCGTAAGTTTTAAATAAATAAGCACTGAAGGTGTAGTGGAAGGTTCTATGTCGAACCCACACAGATTATTCTAGCTTCTAAACAGGCAAATTTATTCATTCTTCTGGAGTCACTCTTTGACCTTGTTAATTATTTGCCTATTTTATATAAGTGTGTGTGTGCATTTCTTATCCTATTCATCACTTGTCTGCAACTTATTTTTATCTGGCTACAAATATTGATTAACGCTTGATTGAAATGAGTTGGCTAAAACGCCTTCTCCACTGATTGTCATTTAGTTTCTCTTCGCTTCGTCCCTATGATTGTCTTTCAGATTAATGAGTATACAAAATATACGTATTGAAAAGTCCATTCTCACATTTGACTTATTTAATTCCTCTATTCACCAACACGATTTAAGTCAATGATTGTATACAAGGATTGGCGACATGTATATTTCGATAATCATTCATGCGGTCAGATTTAGGGCCACTAAAAAGGAATATGTTTTCTATGAAATTGTGTTCTCTCTGAAATGATTGGCCTAACTGCGATCTTTTATTATCTTCATAGACACCTTCATCAGCATAGAAGTGAATTATAATCATTTTTCTACAACTGATTAGCAACTTATTCTATCAACTTTGAATTTGATTAGTTCAAGTTAACTCTTTGTCGAGACTATAATTTATGTACGACGTTTGAACGAATACTAAGTAACCTTGATAAGTTTCAGCCAATCAGAAGTCAATATAGAGTGAGAATCTATTATACGAAACCAAAGCAATAGAGAGGATGCATTTCTCCAACATGGTTTGAAAAGTTTTCAATGTTAGAAAAAGGTTCTGCAGTTCCGAAGTCGTAATGCATACGATACAGCAACTCACCCATGTAACTCCATAACAGTTGACCTCTGGCGCCATGATAAGTTTGCAAAAATCCTTCAGCTCCGACCACATTGCTTCTGTATTATTGGTGTGTACTCTTGTGGTGTGTCTACAAAATGTAGCTTGTGGACGATGATGCGATGCACGTAGCCAAGTCTAAATAGGCATCGATTTATTCTCTAGTTATCTCTGTATATTGTGGTATACAGTTGCACATACTTTCATGTAATTGGTATTATCGTTGTAGCCTGTCGATTTCTCACGCCCTCCAAGTGTCCGTTTTGAGATTACCCATCATATATACCAAGGACCTGGTAAGTATACTTGTGGAAATGCTACTTACCTAGTCTTCCTCAAAACTTCTTCCTCTATTGAATTGGCGTTTTCTAAAGACTGTATCGTCCATTTCTATAATTCTCCCGATTCCTCCAAACGATTGATTCAAGCTTGTCATTCTTATTGCACATATATCGCAACAGTACTCATACCACTGAACTGCCAAAGCTTCAGTAACATCTGCGAATGTGTCACCCAGTGTTACTGGTGCAACAATTATCATAATCGCGAACGGCTGAAAAAAATCCTCATCCTAACAGACTTTCTCTCCTAACATATAATACCTCGAAATACAAAGTCGCCACAATAGTCTACACAATATCCAGTAATCATTTGAACACCGCAATTACATATAATGTAACTTCTCAGTGATTCCTTTTGTTATAGCCTCTAACTACAAAGTACTCCTTGAAATCGTCTGTAGACCTATCGTACATTAGCATCGGGTGTTGAAATAGACTTTGTAACTTTGAAATCACTAATTTGATGCTGATTAACTCGTCCATAAATTATATTTTCTTCAACTCCTGTCATTCTTTTAATATTTATTTTCATCATTTTCCCTTTTCCCCTTTTTCATGAACTCACAAACGTTTAAGGTGGATTGACTGTATTTCGGCATGTTTACTGGCTGTTGAAAGAGTTCATTTACAATTTTCTAGAAATTCTCTTAACTACATTGTGTTTCTTTTCTTTAAGAATAAACCATTTTCTTAGTCGAACATAATTCCGGAATTGTCTATTTACGTGAAGACAAGTCGTTGAGTTTGACGACTATTTGATGTTTATGTAGATGACGATGATGATGATGATGAGTGTGGTGTCTTTGTTCTGTAAAACTTTTATTCACAGATGAAACAGTTTATTTTGTTACTGATATTAAGCTCATCTTATTCGGCTATTTCATCTTTCAGTTTACATAAAAGTCGATGAAAAGAAAGTTTTCGCCTTGTGAGTTCTAAGAAGACAATTTCCACAGATCATCTTCCCAAGCTACAAGTACTGTACTGAACAAGAACACGGATGTGGACAACCGGATGTATTTCAGCACAAATTTACAGACAGACTCACTAAAACCTAACAACCATACAGTAGACAGTTAACATTTGATCAGCACTAAGAAGTACTTGACACGCATGACATCGATCACCACCCAGTGATCAATCAATTGTGATTACATCTCATTCCTACAGGAGGTTGGTCGCTGCCTGAATAGATCAGTGGTAACGTCTTTGACTGTGAGGATGAGTGACACGGGATCGAATCCGTCAGGGAGCACCAGTTCCCTCAAGATTACAGGTGTACCTTCCTGACGAGTGCAAAATAGTATGATACCCAGGTCAAGGGTTTCCTGTTGACCACCTCCAACCACCATCTTATACAGTAAACAGTTAATTTGTGAACTATCGCTTAATTGTCTCAATCTTGAACGTTTCTTCTGCAAATATCAGTTCAAAGTCTTTGATTATTATTGTTCATGCATTTTCATACCAATTGCGTTTCATTTCCGTTCTTTCGTTATCGATCTTCTACTGAAATATATTCAATGCCCGACCATTATTATATACTACTTATGTAGATATCAGTAACCCACGCCACAGTATCTTTCAACATTTCAACTGTAGTACAATTTATGCATTTGAATGTAATAGATAATTCAAATAATATGATCAACTGTTTCTTCTTTTTATGAATTCCTACTGATCAATGATAACACTGATAACATTTTTGTTTTAGAAAGCATGACAATTAATTACATTTTTAAGTGGACATGAAAGTTTCCCATACCAATTTATTATCCAAGCTTATTATGTCTGAACCATATACAAATATGCATACTACTTATTAAGCCAAATCTAAGTAGTTTGAATAATGACAGTATAAGCGAAAAAAGTTAATTGTAACAATAAACAACATTTCTACCGAATCACACATATTTAAGCTTGAAAAATGCCAAGGATTTGAATTTAATCAACTAACTCAATAATAATAGAATCAAAATATGATGTAATTATATTTAAAAATGGACACAGCTATACAGTAGACAATGTTTAATTCATTGTCGATCCTTAAAATCAATATTTCATGTATGTCTTCGACATTTACTGTTGACCACATTAGTCTTAATGGACTCACCTAGCTGAAGGCGTTAGGTCAGTCATCCATACTAAATCACTAGCGAGTACTCTGTGCTCAACTTCTCTCCTACAATCGCTAGCCAGATTAGATCAGTCACTTCTCGGTATATCGGCATCTTATCAAATACGTCTTCGAACCTCATTGTTTCCGACTTGTGATTTCACTGGGTTGGCACGTTTCGATTATAGGTGTTACTGGTTAAGGTGTTGTTAAACTTCAAATACTTGTGACATCTTCACATTGTACATGAAAATCTTAGTCATCCAAAAGTTGATGAAATTAAAGTGATTTTAGTCTTTTTTTTACATACAACATAAGCTGGTTATCAGGGGATTTTTATTGTTTGGATTTAACTTAACAAAGCACAATATAATATGGTTTTCAGATGTAAAAATATAAGTAAATAGATATAACTTACTTGAACGTGTACAGTGGCCTCCTTCATCTTGCCATTGAGGACAATTAATTATGTCATCACACCATAAACGTTTTGGTATACAAACTTCTGAATCACATGCTTCCCAATCCTTGACACATGGTTTACCTACATAAATAAATTGAACAGCAACCACAGTTATATGCTGAGAAGTCATGTTACACTGTACAAACGTGTTTTACTGACATAATTAAACGTTTTCAAAGTAACTTTCATGTTATCACTCAGAAATTACATAAATGTCGTCTAATCTGATAAACTACTGTTCCAAACAGATTCGATGAATTGAACAGTCATTAAATCATGTCTGATTTTTAAAAAGAAGCTCCTACTTCTCGAGTAAATGAAAGATCAATAGTTTGACAGACAAGATCACGAACTCACACTAACTTCAATGTACTACTATATTATCTAGAGCATCATATTATAATATTATAATATTATACTTAATCATATGCTTGATGAGAAATCTTTAATCACAGTTAAGTAAACTAAGGGAGTTGAACTGTTGTGTACTGTATTCTGCTTATAAAGTTTCCTGTTTATTACTGAATGGAATCAAAGAAAAGTATATCTCCCTATTACAATTGATTGATCACTGGGTTGTGATCAATGTCATGCTTGTCGAGTCCGTCTTACTGCTGATCGAATTCTATCGATGCTATCGATCAACACCTAGTGATCAATCAATTGTGATTTCATCTCAGTCCTACAGGAAGTTGGTCGCTGCCCGAATAGATCAGTGGTAACGTCTCTGACTGTGAAGCTGAGTGACACCGGAGCACCAGGGAGCACCAGTTCCCTCAAGATTACAGGTGCACCTGGCTGACGAGTCCCAAGTAGTACGAAACCCGGATCCAAGGTTTCCTGTTCACCACCTCCAACCACCATCATATGTTCTTATTACATAGTTCATTCACATTAATCAATAAATGATAATGAAATACTTGAATATGAATAGTTATCACTCAAAAAATTAATTTAACTAACCATCAACTGGTTTTCGTTTCAGGCTTGTTAATATAAAAATAAATTTTGGCATATATTCTTGTAATTTTTCAATAATTTTATCATTATTCACTGTTTGACGTCGTCGTCGACGATGATGAAGATGTTGATGAGGATGACGACGATGATGTAAGGATGAATCATTCATATTACTTTTTTCCAATGAATTATTACTACTGAAATTGTTATGATAGTAGTATTGATAATTATCATTATATTTTAAATCACGACGTGTTTTAATTGTATCTAATAAATCTGGTTTTAAATATGGTGATGCAATTACAATACGAATAATAAGACGTGGATAACGTATATAAAAATCTCTATCAGAACCATGATTTTTTGGTAATTTTAATAGACCTATAGTTTTATCACAGAATCTGATAATTTTAGGACATGGTGGTACAAATTGTGATATTGTTTTACCTGGATATACTTCAAAAAATGTATGTTGTCCATCAATAATTGATGAAGGATCTTGTAATGATAATTTATTTAAACCTGAGTCTGTAACTAAAAAAGAAAAAGATGGTTCATTTTAGTCAAAGATAATTGGAAATAAGAAAATAAATTCAATAGTAGATTATGGATGCATTGAAATTAAATATCAACACTATTGAGTGGCGGCTTAGTAGTCTGGATGGTGGTTGCAGGTGGTCAACAGAAAACCCTTTACCCGGGTTTCGTGCTACTTGGCACTCGTCATGCGTGTCATGTCCGTCTTAGTGCGGATGGGATGCTATCGATCAAGTTGCAATGTGGCCACTAGTCTAGGTGGCTTGACACTGTGTGCACTATGTTGAGATAAGATGGTGGTTGGAGGTGGTCGAAAGGAAACCCTGGACACAGGTTTCGTACTACTTGGCACTCGTCATCAAGGTGTACCTGCAATCTTAAAGGAACTGGTGCTCCCTGACGGATTCGATTCCGTGTCACTCAGCTTCATAGTCAGAGATATTACCATTGAGATATTTGGGCCCCGACCGACTTCCTGTAGGACTGAGATGTAATCCTGTTGACCACCTCCAACCACCATCTTATCTCAACATAGTGAATGCAGTGTCGAGCCACCTAGGCTAGTGGCCACATCGCAACTTGATTACCATCCAGTGATCAATCCATGGTGGTTAAGTGTTCATGCTGGAGGTTGAAATTATTGGGTTCGTGTTTCAAGTGCGAGATCATGCGTGAACATTGTTGATTAGTTCTATACTAAGACAAAACAGCCGTCTGGTGTATCCAGGTTTTCAATGAGGGTCTAGCTTAGATTAGCTCGTGAATTCAACTGTTACGATATTAGATAATAAATTACGTAAAGATAAAATATCCTTGGTTGTTCTTCTATTTCCATCATTATAATTTAAATGAATTCATTATTTAATGACAATTATCCATTTTTACCCTTATTACTTTTACCAGTCTACATTTTTTATGATTCTATATTGGGTTTCCAAATGATTACTTTGCATTATTAACTACTGTACGTGGTTTGTAGAGATTGCTGAATTGATGGATTAAATCATTAAATGACCTTAGTTAAACATTCACTGAAAACGAAAAGGCTCCGAATAGCTGTTGTGTCATAGTATTGAACTATTCAGAAGTGTGTATTTGTGATCCCGGCTAGTGACTGACCTCTAGACCAACAAGTGAGTATTTAGTTGTTTACATACTTTTACAGTAGTCAGTTAGCGGTATTGAGCAATTATGCTAGATGGGTGGGAGTTAACCACGGTTGACATGAATAAATGGATTTTCAATGGTTCTCTAGCTAAGATCGTACTATGATATACATTACAAAATTCGAAAATCTGGATAGACCTCTCTTAAATTTAAATCCTAACTTTGACCAATCTGATTCATTCTGCCTTACATGGTACATCTCCACATAAAATTACCATCAATCGATTAGTACTTACTTACTTAGGCCTGTTACCCCTCGTGGAGGAGCATAGGCTGCACACCAGTTAACTCCATCCAACCCTATCCTGGGAAATCATTTCCAGTTGTCATTCATCCTTTTCATATCTGCTTCAAGTTGGTTGGGCTAAGGAGTCACGAAATCTATTAACAGAGCCATTCTTTCTCACTTGGTAGATAGTGAACATCGTATTAAAATAGATGAAGCTTTCTCTATTTTATATCAGGTTACAAAATGTCTACCTAGAGGAGCTAAATTTCAGCTACTCTACATAGCCGAGGACATCTGGATAAACTCCATAAAACTGAACATATGTATCCAGAAGATGTATATCCAGAAGACGTATATCTACACATTCATTTTCCTAATTCATATGAATTCTTTCTTATCATAATTACTTTGATCAGAGTTCTCTTATGACGTATTATACTCACGCATTCTATTATTATTATAACTACGATGACAAAATTCTCGTACTATGCATATTGTTCACACGATTTATTATCTTACTATTATATTGACCATAACTTAACACTTTACAATGATCCACTTTGACATTTCTAGTTTCCAAATAACACAATCCTGGAGTATTTATGTTGTAACAGATGCAAACGTTCAGCATTTTCAACATATGACATTGTCAAATTCATGAATGCATGGACATCAAAAACATACAATTGAAGATTTGCTCAGTAAAGAGATCTCTTTTCGGTGACCTACTAATGTAACAGCATTTTATTAAATTACATTCAATAATTCGATCTCTTTTGTAGATCACTTGCTGTTAATTCTGTTTATGCCTTCCATTCCTTTTCGATTTGTTTTTGTGTATTAGCTATATTACTTGTTACTATTCAGTAGCTAATGTCATTGTCAATCATTTTTCAGAATATAGCCATAGATGCCATACATAGTTACAGGATATTTAAATGAACTTTTGACTATCATTTCAGTTCTTAAATCTTTAAAGTATTTTAACAGTTACTTTCACTTATCATGTATTCAGGTAAGGTTTGTTTGACTTTAATAGTCTAAATATTTTATGTTCATAGGTCTCATTTCGATTATTGGCTTCCATTATGATAATGACAGAGTTATCATTTCATTATATAGATAATTTCTATATAACTATTTCAAAAAGCAAATCTTTGACTACATATCAATGACTTAAGCCACCAGGCCCCCTAACGAATTATAATGTTAGCAAAAAATGATACACAGGATTTTGATTCCGGGATTATTTACGCGTCACTTAATGGTCTAGTCAAAAGCATCAAGTGAATTGAACAATAATATTGAACTAGATATATTATCGATGCTCATACTTAGCTCAAAACTTGAACGATGGCTTTACGAAAATATTCGTATATTCTGAAGACAATTTTCATTGCAAACATCTTCAAATAGACATAGTGTACAATACTAACTAAGCACCGTTAGCGAATACGAAACTATCAATGAGGACTACCATGTTTCCATCTCAGTGATATATCAAAATGACTCTGTGTTACGTATAAAATAATACCTAGTAAATAGGTATCGTTACCAAGTTTTAATTTGATAATTTTGAATAATTATGAATCACCTTGACCGAAATGTGATGGCATGAAATTGATTTATTCAGACCTGTTTTTTGATTGATCATCTAATATTCATGTTGTTCCGCTGTACTATTTAAATTTGGATTATTGTTAATTTGATTATTTATTCTCTGAAGGAGTGGCTTACACTGAGTTACGAAAGATCAGAAAATCTAATTTTTCTACTCATTGGGATATTACGAATATACTAATTTATTTAACATCTAGTAAATCTTTAAATCTTGTAAGATGATTTCATGTATTTGGCACAAAACAATGGATCTAAGTTACATCAGTCAGCTACAACGTAGGACCACGCACATTTATGCATCGGTCCATGTTGCCATACCTCGTTAGCACAACAAGATGAACACCGGATTCATAGAAGTAATTAATTTAGTGGTGGTAGTAGTATATAAATTATAGGTTGTATATAATGATATATTATTGGAAGGAATAGAGATATGAAGCAATTTTAGTCTCAAGGTTTAAAGGAAGATAAAGAGTGTATACACCTACGCCATTGTGATCGATTCTGAGCCATGTCACACAGAGTCTCCAACCATTGAATACGATAGTCACGCGGACCCCAACCAGGTAGTCTGCATCTGCCAACATGGCTCAGACTAGAAGTTAGTGACTTCAAACACTGATGAAAGGTTTTGGTTTGGCCGCCCCTAACTCTCTTCCAACAATCCCCTACACTAGTCATCATAGAGCGTCGTGGTAATCGGTGTTCAGGCATACGTAACACATGGCCCAACTATCTCAGTCGATGAAGATTCATCACCTAATCAACTGATTTACCATCGTTCCCTAATACCCTGCGTCTAACCTCACTATTACTTACCCGGTGATCCCAGCAGATGCGAGCAATATTTCAAAGGCATCTGTGGTCAAATACTAGTAACCTACGAGTATCTTCTACTCTTAATGGCCATGTTTCACAACCGTAAAGTAGAACAAAGCGAACTGCTGCGCAGTATACTCGTCCTTTAATTGATAGACGGATATCTCGTCTTCGCCATAGGTGACGTAAATTGGCAAAAGCCAAACGAGCTTTTTGAATCCGTGCTGACATTTCGTCAGACACCAACCCATTAGGGCTGATCAGACTTCCAAGATAAGTGAAGTTGTCGACGCGTTCGACTACTTCACTCCCTATCCTTAGTTCAGGTGTTGATGCAGGCCAGTCCTGGAGTAACAATTTACATTTGGATGGGGAGAATCGCATCCCAAACATCCTGGCATTATTACTGAGTTCCAACAGAAGACTCTGCATTTTGCCAGTGTCTTCACCAAACAGGACTATGTCATCTGCGTATTCTAAGTAACTTAGTGGTCCCCCTGGTAGGAGATCAATTCCTGTAAATTCAGTCGAAGAGAGCGTTATTTCCAGCAACAGGTCTATAATGAAGTTAAACAAAAATGGGGATAGTGGACAGCCTTGACGGACACCACTTGAGGTTGTAATATCATATGACAGTTCGCCATAAGCTCTCACTCGACTGGTAGTGTTCGAGTAAAGAGCCTTCAAAAGGTTTATGTACTTCTGAGGTACACCTTTCAATGACAGACACTGCCACGGAACCTCTTGGTCTAGAGAGTCAAATGCTGCTTTCAAGTCAAGAAAAACTATCATTGTCGGACGCCGATAAGCGTGTCTGTGCTCTAAAACTTGACGAATGGTGAATATGTGGTCGATACAGCCACGACCAGGTCTGAAGCCAGCCTGATTTTCTCGTGTTTGCAGTTCACGAGTCTTAGTTAGGCGCCCGATAATTATTGAGGCTAGTATTTTAGATGCTATGTTAGTCAGACTAATCCCTCTATGGTTATCGCAGGATGATTTTGACCCCTTCTTATATATTGGGACAATCAGTGATTGTGACCAGTCAGATGGGATTACATCCGTCTCCCAGATTTTAGCCAGAATATTAGTCAACCATATCGCTAAAATCGGACCACCATATTTAAAGACCTCTGGAGCCAATCCATCAGGACCAGCTGCTCTTCCTCGTTTAAGATTAGCTATAGCCTTTTGAACTTCAAGTAGGGTCGGGGGGCCTACTTCAATGTTCCATTCAGGTTTTCTAGGAATAGTGGGTAGTTGTGCAGTAGCTGAAGGCCAGCTAAACTGCTCCTTAAAGTGTTCCGCCCATCGTTCTAAACGTCTGGGCTGAGAGCAGATAAGGGTTCCGTCTTTTTCGGAGATTGTCTCACTTACACTTGACTTCTTAATTCCGGTTTCTTTTATTAGTCTGAATAGTTGCCTGGTGTTCCCTACAGCCGCTGCCTTTTCCATCTCTTTTGCTTTCGTTGCCCACCACTGCTCACGATCGTTCCTTAGACTTTTAGTTAACCTAGATCTAATTTCTTTACGCTCTTCGTCATGTTCAGAGCCTGATGGGATGAGTTTACGCGAATCCATCAGTGAAAAAATCCATTGGTTTTTTGGGGCCCTATGGTTTAAATGACTAATAGATGTAACTGCCGTTTCCACAGCTGTTCGTATGTCTTTCCAAGCAGCATCTGTGTCAGTCTTGTTTACAGAACTGCCTAGATGTGAACTCAGTTGTTTCTGGAATTCGCATTTGGCTTTCTCGTCCTCCAGTTCAATCCTAATGGGTCTTCTTAGTGTACTTTTCCTGCGTCCATTGAGGCGCAGACAAATGCGTGCTCGTATTAAAGCGTGATCAGAGTCTAAACAAGTATTCCAATACGAGCGACAATCTTCTATTGAGCCTCTCCAACGATGACTGATGACAATATGGTCTATTTGAGTCCATCGTTGGTTTGGTGCAGGTGGTCGCCATGTTAGACGATGTCTCTCCTTATGTTTAAAATTAGTGCTTGCTAAAAATAAACGATTGTCTGAGCATAGTTGCAACAGACGATCCCCATTATCGGTTCGTTGAGCCGGAATACTAAAACACCCACCTAAATGTCTTTCTGTTTGATTCAAGCTGCCTACCTGGGCATTAAAGTCACCCGCTATGAGTACTATGTCTGAGCGCTTAGCTTTCTGAAGAAGCTCAGAGAGCTTTCTGTAAAAGTCATCTTTCATTTCATCATGGCTGCAGTCGGTGGGAGCGTAGGCAGAAACGACGAAAAGGCAACGACGTGTGTCCCTATCCTTCCGAGTTCTTACGGAGCCATTCAGCCGGACAGCACACAGGCGACTGTTAACGGGGATCCATTCTAATAGTGCCTGTTCTGCCCTTGTACTTAGTGCTATGCCTACACCTGCAAGTCCACGAGAACTAGCCAACGGGTCGCCAGATACACGGAGGGTGTATTTCGTTGGCTGTCCATTTTGGCGAGGTGAGGTCAAGTGAATGACCACACTGGGATCCAGTATGCGTGTTTCCGAGACACAACATACATCAATGGTACGAGATTCTAAGGTTTTAGCTAAGGAGGCCTGTTGACCGATTTGGCGTAGGGTACGTACGTTGAAGGCTCTAATGTGTAGTTTGGAGCGAGGTTTAAGTAGACCTGGGACAGCGTTTCACGCACTAGAATCGTTGGCCATGATGACACTTGAGGAGGAAACCGGAACAGGAAGTTTAGTCTTGGAAATCAAGGTAGAAGGAATAATAGGAATTGAAGAAGATTGATTATGAATACGGTGGTCTTGAGTGCTGTTAGGGGTATGAGGGCAGTTATCACTTCCCGGTTGCCCACACCGTGGAAGGGTTCTTCTAGAGTACCTGAAAAGGAAATTGGGTTAGAAGTGGTCTTAATGACCTGAGAGCGTGACCGCAGTGCCCAAGGGACAACTGCTTGAGGTCGATCACACACGACCTTTTTGTGGGTAGTTTTTGTGTTAGCTCCGTTCTTCAAAGGACCTTACCGCCGGAGACGGATATCCGTGGGATAAGGCGAGGTGTGCATTTTTAAAGCCGACCTTTTCTAACCCAACCCCTCCTTGTGGGAAGGCAGCATCGCTGTCATGCTGGTTGTCTGAAGGAAACACCTTACTGCCGTCACACCTCTGTACAGTCGACAGTACGACTTCGCCTTCGGACCTTGGGATTGCTGCTTTTAGTCTCACCGCTCTTCAACCGACCTGTCTGGCATGGTAGGACCTCGAGGAACGATTGTTCCAGCCAGCATAGCTCGATTGCTTCATCACGATAGGCAAGCCCGACCACCACGTCAAGGTAGCAGCAACGGTTGGTCGGTCGGTCTAAGTTACATGCCAATCGTGACTCATCAGCAAGACGCAACGAAATTTCAAATCCGCTACAGAACAGTTGACTGAAGTCTATAAACAAACAACTTCGAACCATATTGAAGATTAATTGGTAGATATCAATCAACACCAAAATTAATAAATGAATATAATACTGGTCACTACTCAATGAACAATTAGTATATGTTATAAGTCCAATTGTTTTGAACTTACCATCATTACCATTAATTTTTTTTTCTAAACCAAATACAATAGGTTCACCAGTAAGGCATTTAATTCTTGTTAATTTTGTAAAAGTTGATTCTGGTTGACAACTCCATGCTGCTGATTGAGGAACTTGTACATGATCAATATGTAACATGATCTTTATTGATTATTTAAAGAAAAAAAATAAGGATATTGATAAATCAATAAAGTAGAATGAAAGAAAATATAAATAGAATTTGAAAGTCACCTATAATATTAAGAATTTCAATAAAGAATTACCGCGAAATTAATTAGACAATCACTGTTGAAATTTATATGAAATCTTGTAAGCAAGATTGAATAGTGGCTAGCAATGAAATCTAGGACACGTTTTTCGTCCTTTTTAGGACTCGTCAGCTAAATGTACCTACATATCAGAGTTGATCTTCACTCTGGGACTTGAAGTGAATCTATATGGAATCTGTTCGATATAAACTTGAATTTAATTCATATTTAACATTGTTGTTTAACTAATAAATCATTTTTCCACAAGTAATCGATCAATAATGCGTTTTATTTATCAAGGAATGATAAGTGTTGTCATATGCATTGAAAGATAGATAGCACTGTAAATTTGTTTCATCTTATTATAGGTTTTTTCAGTAATGTTCATCTACAACTCCATCAGAAATGAGATCAAGTAATTTTAGGTATAAGGGTAATAGAAGCAAATGTGAAAAGAATGAATAACAAATGGGAAAAAACTAGAAAGGATTGCCTAGGACAGGGTTGGATGGAGAATCCAGGTGTTCGGCCTCTTCTCCTCCATGATGGGTAACAGGCGTAAGTAGTAGTAGTTATCCATTAGAACCACATGGTTACCATCCAATAGTAAAATACAAAATTTATTTAAATCCTAATAAAATTGTGACGTTTATTCAAAGTTACTTATAACAACTACTAAACTGCTGAAAATCTATTCTAATATTGGGTCATAAGTGTGTTCTTCCGAGAAGTTTATAGTCGTAGGTGAGACACATTTGATCGACAGAAATCTAAGTGATGTTCATGTAATTTCATGTACTGACCAAAGTTGAAAATGTAAACTATTCTCTGAGCACAAACTTCAGGTAGAACTTTGTGCTGATGATGTTGTTCAGAAAAACAATCAAAGCTCCACTATACAATCATCCAGCTCAGAGAATAAAACTGCACCTAAATCTGATCGTTTTAATACACACTTTACACTTGAACAATTATATAAATACATGTTGAACGACACTACAGCGTTTGGCCTTTCAAAATAAATATTTTATCTATCAAAGGTTAGTAAATTCATTAGGGCTTGAATGATGAAAAACGACAAATTTTTTTGCAAAATTAAAAGTTGATCCGTAGTAGTGTGCGCTACTTATGTCAACATAAGTAGTATGTTACACTAGTCAAATTGAATGCCTGGTAGCAGAATGCTTGGAAGATCGCATTGAAGAGAACGGGAATAGAGAGTAATTGTTGCAGCAATGGAGGAATGATAAAGTTTGAGACCATTCATGGTCATTTTGTAAATAAAATATTGAACATATGTTTTTTTATATTTTATCAAATACCTCCGTAATTTCGCTCTAAAATATGTTGGACGCCCCCCCCACCTGTGTTTTTGTGCATTAATGTAGAAATAGTCATTTCGTTTAATATTATTTGTTTCTAACTTACATATGTTCCATTTGTTGATCTAATATCTAAGGCCACTTCTAATGGTAATTGTTGAATTTTTGATGATAATTTTTCCATTTTCATTAATAGATATTGTTCATCTAATTTCCATGCTTGTCCAGGTTGTAAATTTATTTGAAACTGTACATCTGTAAGAACGGAAAAATATAATAAAATTTTATTATAATGTTGGGAGTAAATTGATTAAATAAAGATAATTACAAGAGTGTAATGCAATATAAATGATTATAAAATGATTACAAAGTATTTCACTGTTAATTAAATAATTTAAAGGTGGAGAGTAACTAGCTTCGGAATCCAGGACGCGCATTTTGTCCTATTTGACAGTGATCAGCTGGATGTATCTTTATCCCAGAGTTAATTTTCATTCCAGAACACGAACCCAGTATTGTTTGCTTCAAACACCATCGCTTTACCTATTGAATTCTGACAGTCATCGCGGCGTTATTTGAAGCACACCGTACTGGGCTTGAGTTCCGCAGTGAACATCAATTCTAGGATGCCGGTATATCCAGCTGACAAGTTCCAAATAGAATGAAACGCGCGTTCGAGATTTCACTACTAGCCACCATCCATCTTTGCTGATAATGCTGATGATTTCAGCAAATAACGATACCATCCGTACAGGAAACACATGTCTCAATAAGTAACTAATTATTGTCCTAAACATCGAAGACTCAAACAAAATTACCTTATTTTATCAAAATATCAAAATATTATTTCATCAAGTTTGGAAAACAATTTAGGTTCGTTCACTATTTGATCTCTTAAAAAAAAGTACATCACCTTATAACTAAACATCACCTCTTATTTGGGTACACAGCTACTTGTAACTGTTGATCATATCTAAATCCAGTCTTATCTACTAAATTTATAAATGTGCAAACGTAGCCACAATATAATTTATATTTTTATATTAAATAGATTAATTTAGATTTATCCCTCATAAAATTTCAATACAGTATCATAATGATTTGATTACGTAAGATTAATAAATGTGAAATGATTAGACTAATTAAAAATCATACTATCATACTAATTGAGATCATATTCATTTTAGTCTCTTTAAAAATCATTGCAACTTTGAATAAATATTTCATGTATATAATTTATCCTACTTACAAATCTATAAGTAGTATACATGAATGTAATACGACCAACATTTTCAAAGTTTTGCAAAGATTTTAATGTTATCAATTAGAACATTAAAAGATGTTCTTCTCATTTATATTAACATAAATTAGATTTAATGAAACTGAATGTATGATTTATAAGAAAAGATGGATAGTGGTCAGAGGTGGAATAAAGGACGCGCGTTTTGTCCTATTTGGGACTCTACAGCTGGATGTACCTGCATCTCGAAGTTGATGTTCATATTGGGACTCTAACCCAGTGCATCCAGCTGAAGAGTCCCAAATAGGACGAAACGCGCATCCTTGATTCCACTGTTAGCCAGTACCCATCTTCGCTAATAAAGCTTGTAACTTTAGGAAATAACGAAGCAGTTCGCTCAGTATGCACATAAGGCTGACAAGAGACTGATCAATTGCAATCCAAAATAGCAAGGAAAAGATACAAGTAAACAACAATGGGGGAATGTAAATATATGATTCCTCAAAAAAACGAAAGAAAACGGTAATCATTTAATGTGAGTAGTAGATTTATGTAGGTTAGCTTCTAAGACATCTATTTAAAATCCCATATGTTATTCTATTGAATGATAAAACATATAAATTAAGTAATAACAGAAAACGGAGAATATTTTCAACATAATAAAATAAGTATTAAAAAAGGTTTTGTGGAGATTTCAATATTCTCATAGTTGAAATCATAAGTCAATTGAAGCTAGACCACCATGGAAAACTTGGAAGCACTGAAAGCATACGGGGCGAGATTGTGGATAAGCACTGCTACTGAGTAGTCCCACTGTGTGACGAAATATAACTATAAAATAAATAATAAATGTTCTATCACTAATGATTGATTGACTAAATTCTTTCAAGATTGTTCAAATATTTACATACATGTATAAAAATTTATTCAATATAAACAATTTTTTCACCAATTTTTCATAGATTTTATGAAAATCTTATGACATTTATCTAAATTGTGTATCTTTAAAACAAAATTGAAAAAAAAATGTTTGTTTTTTTTACTTTTTTCTGTTTTTCTTTTTCTCTTTTTTTTCTTTCTTTTGCACAAAAGTCAAGTTAATGATGGGCAAATTGTTTTCTTTACACATTATAATATAAAGTACAAAATGTCATTTACATTAGTCAATATTCATGATTTAATGAAGTATATCTATTTTGAAAATGACCAGTTAGAATGGATCCTAAATGTTACAATAATGAAGTTTTAGTTGTTAATTGAAAAGATTTTAGTTAAAGTGAAATTAATTTAATTGAACTTATCATAAAGAATTTAGGAAAAAAGGATGACAAGATAATGCTATGATCTATGATCTGGTTCTACTAGTGTAGTGTGGTCTATTTATATCCATATGAGTAGTATATTGCGATGTTCAGGCATTGAATGTATTTCAGTAGAAGATTGATTACGATAGAACGAGAACGAAACTCACTTGGTATGAAAATGCATGAATAATGAAATCAGAGAAGACGAACTGATATTTACAGAAGGAACAGTGAAGATTAAGACCATTGGTTGTTATTTTGCAAGTTAAATGTTTGCTGTATGGTTGTCAGAATTTAGTGAGATAGTTTGTATTTTGTGTCTAAACACATTCGATTTTCCCCAACCAGTGTTCTGATCATTACACCAGTAATATATGCTGTGATAAACATTACAGTGAATGAAATGGACACCCGCTTCACTTATATATGTATGAATGTAAGCTAACAGCAAGATAATATACTGTGATATCAATAATATTAATGTATGTAAGAATGAGTTAACAAGTATTCGATTTCAAAAATTCGAAATCGGGGAAACTTCAAATATACCAGAGGGTTACTAGAAGTATGGTATTTAAACCAAATGTTGGTCAATAAACTCATTGACAAATATACAATGAGTCAACTTATAGTAAAGTGCTCAATCAATTGTCACAAGGATAGAAGTTTACATTAAAAAAACGACCATAGTGAATGAAAGAACAAATGAAGATAGAAACTTACGAAGACAATAAAACGCAAACAACATTATCAGAAAGGAACTAATCTAATACTTATAGAATAATAATGTATGAAATAAGCGATTGATAATATTATTAATAAGACAAGTTATCAGTCAATATATAGAAAATGCGACAATGCACTGCTTTTTCAAGTTTATATTGAAATTTTACAACTTCAACTTAACCAAACTTAGAAGGCAGCCTGCTTGAATATATTGGCTATCTGTTCCTGTCTATTAGATATTTCAACAAGTTATCTATTTCTTTGTTTCATTAGATCATTATGCCAATAATTGCACAACCTATTCAGGTGTGTTTGTGAAAAGTTCACAACCTTTTGTTCTACAAATTAAGAAAGAGCACAATCAGAGACATTGTGGTTGGTGGTAATATGCATTGAATAGAATTTACGTTATCCATATGTCGATTCCTGAACTGCTAACATTTAGTTGGTGATCACTTAATATTTAACGTCAAGAACGATCAAGTAAAAAGGAATGGAGAAATGCTGAAATACTTCGAGATGAGAATTCTATATTGTACCAGAAATATAATATTGAATGAAGATAGTGATAATAATAATAGTCAGACAAATTGAATGCACTTAAAACAATAATTCGAATATTATTTTCCATTATTGATTATCTTTCAGATTACTTCTCTAGAATGTGATAATTTACATTTGCCCAGTTATTATATCTTCTTAATGGAACTTCAGTACTTCAGTTAGAAAGTAGACATAATTATATACTTTGATTAAAACGTTATTTTTCTTCAGAAATTGATTAAAATTTTAAATGGTTTCAGTAATATGTGTTCATTATTAACTGAATTATGAGGAGTCTCACAATAGGATGAAACGGCCGTCCAGTGCTTCCAGGTTTTCTATGATGGTCTAGCTTCAATTGATTCATGATTTCAAATATATATAAAATTACTAGAATATCCATAAAATCCCTTTTTGATTATTTCCATTTATTAACAAAAACAAGAAACTTCAAAATTAGACAACCATCTGATGGAGAATGCTGATGAGCGGCCTATGCTCCTCCATGAGGGGTAAAGGGCATAAGTAAGTAAGTTATTACAATAAACTTTACAATGTTCTTTCGTAATAATAACTATTTTTTTAAATAAAAATTAATCTTAATAGTTGTGGTTTTGAGTCAATTGAAGCTAGACCACCATGGAAAACCTGGAAACACCATGTAAAATACCTTTTTAATATTAATCAGCATATGCTCACTAGTGACTGACTTTAAGAGATGTTTCCTATAGTTTTAATGAGAAGCAGTGATCAGTGGAGTTCAATCAGGTCTGTTGTGAGATATCAACTCACTGAAGACAATAGTAGATGTGTCGCTCAATTTTGTGGATTAGTTGAAGTTAGACATTACGTGGCAATATTGAAAAAAAAACTAATAAAAACCCTAGAAGAACCAGTAAACTTCATAAATTCACTAAAATTTTAAGATGAAATCATTACTATATCTAAGAAACACTTGTTTTTATTTGTTGTGAGTGCGCAATGCTGAGGAGTTCCATAATAGGATGAAACGTCCATCCAGTAATCACAGATTTTTCATGGTGATCTAGTTTCAACTGACTTACGATCTCAACTATAAAAATTACTTAGATATCCGCAAAAAGAGAAAGAAAATTAGATATCTAAATTATAATATTATTATTATTCCCATAGTTCAGATCATAAATCACTTGAAGCTAGACCACCATGGAAAACTTGTAATCACTGGATGGTCGTTTCATCCTATTGTGGGACTTCTCAATCACAGTGCGCATTCATGATCCCACCTCGCAAGATTCGAACCCAGGACCTATCACTTTCGCCCAAGAGCACTTAACCAATGCTTCCAGGTTTTCCATGGTGGTCTAACTTCAATTGACTCATGATTTCAATCATGGAAATATTGAAATCTCCACAAAATTCCTTCAGATTATAATTATTATTAATAATGAGTCAATTGAAGC